AAAAAAATAGTGGTGGTAGAACTCATTTCTTAAAGACAACAGCAAAATCATGTTCTTCGTGTACTTTCTCTCCAGCTACACAAATAACCTATACATTTACTTACCTGAATTAGTGAGTTATTGGCCAAAAGCAACTCACCAGGATTAATAGGGGAGCTCAAAATTCTTCTTTTATTTTTTATAACCCAGCACATGTTATTCAATGTGTTTTATACTTTTACACAACACAGAACCAGATAATATTCGACCGTATATTCAGTGGAGAATCTACAGCTAATGCTTTCATTTTATTTCAGTATTAGGTGACACAATGACAATGTTTTGCTATGCTTGATCCATTATTTTGTCTTATTTTGACATTATTTTTTTAACATCCTTTCATGCAAAAATCTAAATGGTTTGATCATAATGGATGAAATCCATAATAATATGGCTGATGTTCTCCTGTATTCTTCTTGATGGGAGGGAAGGAACTATTTCCTGTCACTTGACACTAAATAGATACAACACAATGATGAAGTCAACATTATATCACTTTTCAGTTCCAAACATTCAAGATCATGAAATCATTCCACCTACTTGTCTTTATTTTAAGAAAAAAAATAGCCTCATATTACTTCCCTACTGGCAGTAGTATTACCTGACGTTATTAACATCACTGCCACACAAGAGAGAGAGTAGTACCAGAGCGTTATATGTGCTGTGTGCAATATTTTCAGATGAATGGCAGCCCCTACTGGCAACAGCACAACTGCCCAAAAAGATTTCATCTCAGTTCATGGCCCTTTTGCTGCTCACTCTCCAAGTGATTGAACACAGTTGTGATTCAACCTATCCCCTGCTCATGAAAGCTTTTGTGTTTGTGGTTTTAAACGCTCAATGCCCAAGAAAAAAAAAGAAAAAAAAAAAGGAAGTGATGAGTTTTATGTTTCTAGCAGGAGCAGTTTTATTTTAAAAAAAAATGGTGCTTGACACTCTTTGATTGAGAAATCTGTAAGAAATGCAGGACAATAACACCACAGCATTGAGCGATAAGCACCAAAGATGTCTCAATGATCTAGAATAAAAACATATATAAAAGCCTATATATACTGTATATATATATATATATATAGCCCCTGTGAAGTACCTCTTTCAATTTTCAGTCACAATTGTACAAAGGTCTCCTCCTGTTTCATCGAGCTAAGCACTTTTAAATTTCCAATGCACCAGACCACTCATTAAAGGTGATTCTCAAACTGGAATAATGCTGCTGTGTGTGCTGGGGTGTGAGGTTTAGTCGAATAAGATGGTTTACTTTCATCCTCCAGGGAGAAACATCTTTTCCCACAACCATTCTACAGCATGTACAGAACATCTTGCCCCAGTTTATGCCTCTTCTTCATTACTATTACATTTTACATGTTCGTGCTGTAATATCTAAGCATTACATTAACGTGTCATTTTGTATAAAAATGTAAAATATTGAAAATAAACATCAATATACACCAGTATAACTGATGGAAACCGGAGATTTTATTTCCCATCACATTGTAATTGAGCAAGGAAGCTTGTCATTCATTGTCTACAGTCTTTGTTTGGATTTGTTAAGCGTTCAGGGGTCCATAGTCTTTAATGTGCAGCGTACTGAATCGCTTTTCATCTAGAGAGTTAGCAGAGTCCTTGGAGATGGTGGAAATACCATTGGAACAGCAGTATAATATAGTTATTCTGTATTCTGTATCTCCATATTGTAATTCTACTGTTGTTATTTCTATTTATTTTGTACGGCATGTCCTATCGCTCTAACAAAGGGATTATTCCACTGTTCTTCTTGAGGTTTTCTCCTTTTTCCTGGATTTGTTTTTGAGGTTTATAATTTTTTCGTTTGGGTTATATTAACAAAATTGACTTAACTTGACAACTGGGTTGAGATCTGGTGACTGTTCTGATGTGCTGTCAGCCCCTGCACCCTGTATATAAGCATCTGCATTTGTTACGTTTCTACCCTCATTTATTCTTTTAGTTTTACATGCATATACTGAATGTGATGTGTAAAAACCACAGTGCTTGAAACAGCTCTTCAGTGTTTTCTTATGGCTTACAGACTAAACTTGTTTTGAGTTTGATAGCACAACATTTTATACTCTCAAACTCTGCACCTGCATTTGCACAACAATACAAAAAGACATCTATTGTGGAAGAGGAAGAGATACCAATTTCTCCTCTGACAAAATCCTTAATAGACCAAAATACAATGCAGCCCCATTATATAATATAACCCCGTAGCTTTTGCATCTAGGGATATTTAATGTTGTCAATTGTTTAAGCCAAATAATGGTGACACTTACTTTCCTTTGACAGAAACAAACGTCCTCTCTCCTTGCTTAAAACTTAATCTTTCTAAATTTTCTAGGGTTTGCTGAAAGGCATTATGGGTTATACTCGTGTAGACTACTCAGCATTGGTTCACATGATTTACCAAACGTTCAGAGTCACCAATATAAAATGTTCAACAATGTGGGTTTCGGAAAAATACCGGTGGTATTGCTTCTTATGTCTTTTGGTTGTATAAGTTTTGTGTCTGTATGCAAATAAGTGTGCGTCAGGACGAGGAGGAGATTGGTGGACTACATCAGATCCTGAAGCTGATTAGCTCCTGTTGTGCTTGCTAGCGGACAGCGCCGCTCCCTTTTCTTATAGTTATGTTAGCAATTAAAACTAAAATCTCATTCTTTTCTTACCTTTTACATATTTTTTTAGAAAATACAACAGTTAGTAACTTCCGGTATAATGTTTCAGTGGCTAATTGGGACTAACCGATATCTACCCAGAGAGAGAGTAGCAATTATATATATATATATATATATATATATATACATATATATATATATATATAGATCATATCGGCTTCGCCCTCTCAGAGCTGTAGCTATTAGGTTTATCCTTCGGGCATGCGCAGTAATGAAAACGTTTTTTCCCAACGTTTTTATTGAGGACCACTGCTGGACACGAAAGACAGCCTTAACGATTGCGCATGCGCGGGAGGATGAACCTAGTAGTGACACATCTTAGAGGGCTACACCTATATTCATAGACGCTGGCGACTGATGATATCAGAGAGTGTAAGGGGAGAGGTGGGGCTGGGAACTGAGTATTGAAAGCATCTGCTTCAGGGCACCGGTGCATTTGCCGTGCTCCTGCTGCAGGGCACAGCACTGCTGCACCAAATTTCAGCTACGGCATCATGGCATCACTCACTTAAATGAAGCCTGCCTGTGTAATGACAGCAGGGGAGAACAGTAATGAGATGGCACATTATTGCAGTGTTCTGGTTGCAAGTGATATGGGCTGTAGATGCTCCAAACAGATGTCTCAGTCTCTAAATGAGGAGACAGAACTGCCAAAACAACTATTTTTAGAGGAAAGCAGATTGTTGAAGCTCATTTCCAAATTGGTACATATATATATATATATATATATATATTAATTATCTTTCTCTGGAGTGACATTTGCCTCTCTTCGTCTTAATAAAATCCTGGAAGATATTTCTCTCCCTGCTGTTTCTGGACAGAGAAGTGACACAGAAGATGAGGCCTGTCCACTCTCACCAGTAACAAGAGATTTATCCTGCCAACTATCCTTTAGAGAATTGCAATAGTTTAACATTTTGTTATCCATCAATTCGAAGCAGGTGTCACTTCTTTTCTGCACATTTTAGCATGACGCTTCAGTTGTTTTATTATACAGCCTAATTCCATACTGAAATATGCTTTGCCCCGGGCAGTTTAATTTGTATTCGTGACAGATCACCACTGTACTGTGTGATCAGAAACAAAAGATATGGTGTATCCAGGCTCTGTGTGTTTATAATTGTAATGAGTTCCTTCACTTTGTTGTCTCAGAAACAGTGAGTCAGAAACTGTGAAGTTACCTATATTTTCTAGGCCTATGAAAACAATTTATAGCTGTGTTACCAACAGAACCATGGCTCATTTAAATGCTAAACCAGTTACCACAGTCATACAGTGATTTGTCAAACACACACAAAGTTTCAATATTGTTCTCTTGTGTTTTGATCTCTTGCTTTGATTCATTTTGGTCTTTTGTTCTCTCTGAAAAGCTGTGTAATGAAGCCGCTAATTCAAAATCTTGTGTCGGTTCAGTTCATCTGTCATTGTCAATGATGAAAGTCCAGGTTGTGCAGCTTGACTGTCTCACACATTCAGATTTTCTACCATCACTGTCACAACCCAGTACCCCATGAGGAATAGTAGAAATGACGGGAGGGTTTTCTTCAGATTATCTCTGTGTACTATGAACCATTATATTTGCAAATATCTTGCAGTTCCTTGTAGAATTGTTCCATCAACCAAATTGCAGCAAAAAGTTCCCAACTATTGTTAAAAAGCTATAAATTGTCACCCATCTTGTCTAAAATTGTCACACATTTTCAACACTTTCCCTGAGCAGTTGCTTTAGAAGGAATGTAGTGATTATAAACTGATTACCATATGATTTGGACTATTCAGATTGTGCTTTGATAGAAGTCAACTACGCTGCAAAAATAAAAATGTAAGGTAGTTGCAACCGTTAGGTTAGGGCAAAGACAGGATGCAGTGTCAGCTAATGAGTTACAAGGCCGTGAGACAATTAAGGAGCAGCGGTTAAATTAACGGCACCTGTAAACATCCCAACGCGGTGCCATAGTAGTGGAAATCAAAGATCACTCACCAACATTTAACTCTAACAAAGGCTAAACCGAATATATAATATTATAACAATATATAAGTGTATAAAGCAGACGGTCTTATAATCTTAGTTACCAGGAATACTAAATAAACATTAGCAGTGACGGACACAGGTGTATGCTAAGCGAGGGCTGGGTTCATGTTGAGCCAAAAATACGACAGAAAACACTTCATAACAAAACCCTCTACACTTCCAGCTGTTCGTAATGTAACAATACTGTCAAAAAATCAGTCACGAATATATTTAAAACATCTTTAATTGTGCTGTTATAAAATTCAAACTGGGTAGAAAAAATATTTTTTTTCAAACATCTAGCTCATTAACAAGAGAGTGAGTGTTGTACTGTAGCTTTGAAATTCAATATTGTGCTTTTAAAGTGGTATTTCCTCTTCTTACTTTTGCTACACATATTCTCATGTGTTCTGACCCAATATTGGCTGTTCCAGGTGTCGGTGTAGTGATACTTTCTCCTCCCCCATCGTCCCACTGCAAACTGTTCCAACATAAACTTAACTGGGGCAATGGAGTGTTCCAACTATGGGGTTTTTTACATTTTTTTTATTCCAGATTTATATTTGTGCTTTTTTGAGATGTAATTGTATCTATTTTCAGCTGTTTTCAAAGTGAGGATGGGTGCAGAAGGCAGAGTCTGAAAAGCTGGAACAACAACAACGCTGGCTCACACCTCAGGGCCACCTGAGAGGCAGCAAGTGTGAGGCTGCTTCCTGCCTCAAGGGAAATACCACTTTAAAAACAGGTACACAGTGTGAACAGCAGAATGCATAAAAAGTCTGTAGCCCTGTAGACATATAAAGACATATATATTTTCATATGTTTACATTTTTGACAATAAATAAAAAGATCCTTAATGATGCTGCTGGCAAGAGACAAAAAATGTTGCCTATTACAGATTTCTCTTTTCTTGACCATAAAAACTTTACAGTAATTAAGTGAAGCATGATGACATTCATTAATCAATGTGACCAGTTAACGATCACAATGTAGTGTAACACTTTTCCATGTACAGTTCAGCGTTGTGTCGCTAATTACATCCACAACTCACCCGTGTCAGCCACCACGCTGTGATTCATCCTCATTTCACGGCACTTTTGTAAAAAAAAAAAAAAAAAAAAAGGAAATTTTTTTGATCTTGAAATGATCAAATTTGAAGCCCTCAGCTATAAAAAAAAAAAAGAAAAAAAGCCACTCGTCCTTTTTACACATATTCAGGTACATCCACAATATCATATGTATCTTCAATGTCACTGCAAAACCGAAGATGTAAAAATAAATGAATAAAATATGGTCATTTTTAACGACAGTGTGTATATGAATCCGATATTCAGTAACAGACATAAACATGTATATGGTTATAATTAATATATTTACAGTCTTTGTCAATTAAAAGCATTTCAGTCAGACAAACGGAGTCCAAACTGTTTAACACTGATATTAACAAAAAATAAAAATAAAAATAAAAGTTTCAGTCTACAGTAGCGAAATACTTCAGCACTGAACGTGCTTTTGTCGAGCGAAGACACAACCTGACAAAATCAGTTCAGTCGAGTTCAGCGCTTCACGCTGAATCGTGTCCGTTTGTAAAACCGAACTGCAGCTTCCGAGCAGGACCTCATTTCCCACGATGCTCCTGCGTTTCGTGTCCGTCGCACTTCCCCTGGCTCACTGGCCCCCCTGCGTCCCGAGTCGTCTTCTCTCTCTCTCTCTCTCTTTCTCTGTGTGTGTGTGTGTGTTTGTGGCGGCTGTCTACACACCGCTCGCTTGAGACAGAAAGCAAAAAAGGGGAGAGCTGTGATTGGTCGGGAGTCAACCTCGATCACTACAAGTGGTTAAAAAATGACGTCGTGAGCATCGCCGTTAGGCCGCAGCCTGTTCGCTACAGGCGGGAGAGGCTTCCTGAAAAATTCTGTAGAGGGGATGGAAAAAAAAGTTTTGAATGTTAGAAAGTTACATCCACTGAATCCTGAAATAAAAACACTCCCCATTATAACAATATAAACAAAAATGAGACACAGTTGCTGCACAGAGGTAGATGGGAAGAGCAGACTGGAGGAAAAATGTGGATGAATACACAGACAAGCCTTTGAGTTGATTAAGATGTCTGCCACCATGAAGGATCCACACATATTCAAACACATGCCTGGTGAGATGCAGGAGAAGAAGAGGACAGCGATGTGGGTCTGAGATACTAATTAACAGTCAACACACATCTTAAAAAAGGCCGACAGAGTTCAGTGTTCCCTCTGCAACAGCACACTGAGAAATTTACCGCCACTGCTGTGAAACACACCGATTCCTTCTCAGAAAAAAACACGACATAGCGCTTTTATATTTCATAAAAATGCTACAAAAAGAAAAAACACTGACACCTGTGCTTGAACTATAAGTGGATCCAAATTATGCTCGGAGCACTGTGCACAGAGGAGACACTGATTCACTGCCACAACAGTTAGTGAATACACAAATCCACACAAAGAGCAGGTTAGTGAGAAAATAAATGGCCGATTAGGTGATATAACAAAAGGAAGTAATGCATGAAATTAAAACAGTGGTTAAAAGTGAGGGATGAAGCATGACCAGACTTCACAGGCAGCTTTACCAGAGTGTTTCGAGTCCCCCAGTGGCTCTAGTTTTGGCAGCCTAGAAACTTTGGGTGTCGCCCATCCCACTAAAAAACAACAACAACAACAACAACAACAAAAACAAACCATCAGGATGGAAAAGAAATTCAGAAACGATGCTCAGGTTCCCTCTTCATACCAGAAGCAGAATGGAATCTATGTCCAGACAGAGACGCTGGCAACTTGCTACGTAAAACACCCGCTTCATTTTATCAAAGAAGTATCACAAGTAAGGATTGAACAGCAAAAACACACGACTTGTCACCATTATTCCTTTCATCACTTAATCTCTGTGCTAAAATGACATCATCAGTTGTCAAAATGTTCTACTGATGTCTTCAGCTCACTGTCTTGTCTTGTGCAAAACCATTTCTATTGAAGACTGGTACCACTAAAAAAGGTTCTCTTGACTGGGTGACGAATACATTGCATTTCCTACAGCTGCTTCACAATAAAAGCTTCGGACTGGTTCGTACTGTAGGTGTAGCTCTGAAAGTACTTTGAAGGGCAGCACAGACTCACCTGGAGGAGGTGGAGGGGTGGGGCTCTCTGCCGGCCCGTCCTCTGTCCTCAGCGGGTCCACACGGTGCTTCCTCTTCAGGTGCAGCTTCCTCGTCTTCTTCTTGCTTTGCTCGCCTGTTGCGGCTGAATGTGCAGAGACACTTCTCAATATACGCCAAAACAAAAATGCTTCTCCCTGCGCCGTCCCTTCATCACTCCACTTGCAAGTTTTATCTTTTTATCCTTTTAATTAATCAGGTAATCATCTCAATGTGTAATTATCTCCCAGATATTCAGTGGTCTGAAATCAGTGATTCCAGACACTTGCTTGACTTTACGGGATATCTCTTCCTATTTTTGAAATAGGAAGTAATTGTTTTGAGTCTCTGGATGTTTGTTTGATCATTTGCTTTCAAAGTGAAAACAGATTCAATATCTTGCTTTCTGTTTATCAACAGGCGCAGACTTCCTTTTCCATATGGTGCAAAGCTGAACCACACGCTGTGAGCAAAGCCTCTTCAGAGATACTCTCTGCCCTCACATCTACACAGATAATTTATTTATTTTTCTGTTTTAAGTAACTTTTCGTGCACGTTTTATGAACCTGTTGAACTGTTGGCCAGCTGAGTGAATTCAAGGGATGTTTTTCCAATCAACCTGGAATATATTTGTCAGCTAAAATTAGTTTTATTTTTCACTTAAGAAATTCTGAGGTGTGGTGGTTTTAAAGATGTATCGCTCACCTGAACTGGCATTTTCCGGCGTCTGTCTTGAGTCGTCGGGTTCCTCGTCGTTGTCCTCCTCGCACTCCTCGTCCTCTTGATCAGCATCAGCCTTCGGGCTGTTAGTCCTGCCCTCCTGCTGCTCTCTCTGCCTCTTCCTCTCCTTCTCTTTATCCTCATTCTGAAAGGAACATGAAAGCCAAAGCTATCGTTTCCTGAGCTCTGCTGAAATACACTGCAACATCACCACCAACTAGAAGTCTTAAACAATCCCAGACGCGTCAATACACCATCCTGTGGTGTGTTTACAGTAGTTACACACCTCAGAGATTACACTGCTGATTGGCTGGAAGGGGCTGGGTATGTTTTCATCATCGGGCTCCTCTTCCTGGATCGGCCTGCCTTCTCGTTCTGCCTCTTCCCGCTCCTGTCGTTCTCTGCGGACAGAGCCAGGTGTTAACCTTTCAGCATTATGACACACACCTCCTGGGTGACTGTTACATTTACACAAATTGATCTGAGGCCAGACTTCATTACGGTGTGCATTTCAACAAATTGGTATTTCTACTATTGAGATGGAGTTTGCTCTTTAGGAATAAATGCAGTATTTAATGTCTCTTTTATTATTACTTTAGTACAAGAAAACCAGAGGAAATATATTTGAGCAGACAGGGGAGACTGCAAACACTGCTAAGCTTGGCATTTTGACATTTTCCACTTCTCCCTCGCTTCATTTATTATTCCACTCTGACCATCTTCTCCCTCCTTTACATTTCTTATCTGTCTTTGACTTCTATATTCCACTGCACTAATGCCATTTTGTTTAGTTCATAGTAGTTGTTATTAGGACAGTTTTCTTCATTCTAACAATGTTGATTATTTTCTATGTTCCTAGTGTTTTCCTCACCTCTCTTCTCGTATCCGCCGCACTCTCTCCGCCCGCTCCTTCTTGTCCTGCTCCTCCTGAGCGCGCTGCTCGGCTGTGTCCTTCTGCACACGCTCAGTAATGGCCTCATAGTCTTTGGCAATGTTGTTGAGTAGCCAGTTCAGGCCCTTCTTAATGGACTTGTCGACCTTTTTGCCATAACCCAGCACTGCAGAGCAAGGCTCCTGGGGTAGGAAAATATATTTAGAGATTAGACGCTTCCACATGGAAAATAAACTGTCCACAAAAGGCCTTGCTCTTTGTCTATATATGGGTAAAACTGCAGCTTCACCGGATGCCCTTAATGTCACTCAACTGCCACCACAGCAGGTGCACAAACACTTACGATCTGACACAGACACTTGTTCTCGTTCACAAGCTTCTCTAGCGACAGGTTCTCAATGATGTCCGCCTCAGCCAGCGCTCCCTCCTGGTCCTGTTTGTTCGCCAGTCTGGAAGCAGAGAGGAATAAAGAGATATTATTGAGTGTTAAATAAATAGAAAAAATGAGCACTGTCTCACCTGTGACCAGGCTGAACTATCTCGAGGCTCTACACCTCACCCTCTGTGTCAAGTTAGTCTGTTTTTTTTAATGCCTTTACACTTTTCCGCACATTTTCAATATATAATTTCATAATTTTTTAAGTCTGTGTCGAAGTATCATTTCCTTGGGCGATAGCGCACTCACACTAGCACAGGTTTGCCGGCGATGCGTGGGTGCTGAAGGACCTCTGCCATGGTCTCCCGCGTCTCCTGGATCCGCTGGACATCGCTGGAGTCCACCACAAACACCACGCCGTGTGACTCGGAGTAGTAGTTCTTCCAGATGCCCCGGATTCTCTTCCCGCCACCGAGGTCGAAGATGGTCACCTCGAACTTGCCCTGCTTTAGGTCAACCTTGGAAAAACCTACAGTTGGAGCCACATCAAGGGGATTGTCTGAGGGACGAAAGATAGATAGTAAAGGGAAATGGAGTCAGTGCCTTTAACGCAGACGTTCTTGCACAACACAAAAGTTTGTATGCTTCCAAAACCAAAAATTGTATTAGCAGTGGTAAACTGCAGAAGCAGAGAGGCATAAGTGCAAGCAGTCAGATTGGATGTAAAATATACATGATAACAAACGCTACACAGAAGAGCAAGTGAGGCAGTTTATTCAGAGTAAACAAGATGGAGAACACGCTCTAAAAATTCAACTTTTCTATTATTTACAAAGACATTTTTTTTTTTAAACTGCGGCACTGAACTGAACACATTCATAACTCAAAGGCCCTAACCTCCTTGGATTCCTCGCACTGTGGCTGTCTTCCCTGCATTATCCAGTCCGACCATCACCAGAGTCACTTTCCTGTAAGATAAGAAAGGGGGGGGGGGGGGGGGATGAATACTTATGTACACAAACATCACTGCTACATCAGTCACGCCCAGGAGTCCAGGTTGGAAGTGGGGCATCTGATGTATCTGAGCTAAAGACGCAACCTGGCATTAGCTCTCGTGACGCATTAGGGGGCACAGGTAAGCCAATTAATAATCTGAATGACCAACACAATCAGAGATATGCAGAGTCGACTAACTGAGTCAGCAACATTCACGTGCTCAGCAAACACAAATTAAACTAAGAGGTACAATCATACTGGCCTAATATCAATATCAAGTTTAAAATGCATTCTTAGTGCTGATATATGACTGATTGTGGAATTGCTTTTCTTTGTTCTGTTCTCCCACTCCACTACCTCACTGTAGACATGTTTCAATAAACAACACATAAAAGCCATTCCCGGAAGAAACGGCAAACAAAGAAACAGATGCACACTCAGTCATCTCTGCAGGTATACAGCACACACCTGTGCAGCAAGTCCAATAGTCCAAGTATCATAGTGGGAATTTTAATATGCAAGTGTGACAAACCTTTCTGAAAGGAATGCATGATTTGCACTGTAACAGAGACATGATCAGTCTGGCTCTATTTAGCCCCTACTAAGAAATCATTTCATGTGCAACAAATAATTGCTCTCAGAGAATCTGGAACCACTTTTCAATGGATCCTTCAAAGGGAAAAGAAAGCAAGAAATCTTGTACCTTTAAAAACCCTTCAGTAGATGCTTATACTGGAATAATAAAAGCGATCATACAAAGCTTTAGGTTTACATTATGGTTCCTGGCATTAAATTTTGTCATGAAGGAAAAGGACCAAAACACAACATAACAAACAAATAAAAATCTTCTGAGCTAACACTGACGGAAAAACAGAAAACTGCTTGGACCTAAGAAAAAGCTATGGTGTACACATAAACACTCCCGCCTTTGTCTCCTGGCTGCATACTTAACTTTGAAACTTGCGTCGAAAAGACATCAACCGCACAATCCATCTAACCGTCATCTGGAGCCAGCTGGCCTTCATCGGGGCAAGCTCTTGATGTAAACCTCCAGAAAAGGTGAGACACTGTCTGGACACTGTCCGCTAACCCATAACCCTCTGCCCTCGCTGCAACAAACTCCTCACAGCAACAGGCCACAAGGAATAGACCCACTGAACAGACCTGGATGTAGGATTAGGGGAGGATTTCTGACTAAGTCCAAAGGATCAGTTCCCTCACAGGTACCACGTGGGTTAAGTACTGTCAATTACATTTTGCTGGTCCTGCTGCTTCACACTCAGTGTTCTACATGCTCTGTAACCAGTCACCAGGGAGCTCTCAGCTAAAAAAAAAAATACTGTGACTAATGCTTGCAGGCTTACAGGATGTTCATTAAAAGAACAGAACGAGACAAATGACTGCAACAAAATGAAAATATCTGCAACTAATATATTAACTAACTTACTTGCTAAATGATACTCATTATTGATTAAACTGCAGATTGTTTTCTCAATTTATGAATTCAGTATTTGGTCTATAAAATGTCATGTAATAGGAAAATATGTCAACTGCAATTCCCCATTACTCAAGAAGACATCTTTAAATGTGTTGTTTTGTTCAACCAACAGCCCAAGATATTTCATCTAAATGACATTAAACAAAATCAGGTAATTCTCACATAAGTGAAGATAGAACCTGAGAATGTTTGTCTTTTTTTGCATGAATTTCATTTATCAAATAATTACTGATCATTTTTCTTTCAACTGACTTATTGATTAATCAAGTTATCATTTCAGCCCCAATAATATCTGTAAATGGGTTAAGTAAAGTAGGTCCCTGTAATCTATCATCTAGCACATCCTTCACTTAAGATTACTATTTAACATTATATCATTATACTGTTTAACACACACAATATTTTAAACAAAACAAAATAATCATCACAGCAAGTTGCATGTTTGTGGTGAGCTTCTAATGCTCTTAATTGGCTACGATTGTAGCTAAAATATAAGGAGTAAATTTAATCATGTCACCTTTATTGCTTAATTAATCACATCTGAAAATAAAGCATGGATGATTGCTCTGATCTAAATATCAAAATAAAAGTTGATTTTAAGATGTTAAAAAAAATCAACAGACTGACTAAGAGCTGTGTGATATTTCTGTGGATGTAGATTATTTATGTTGTGTTAAAATGTCAGAATGGATTATAATGAACTGATTTGAACGAGAGGACAGAAAGTGAAAACATCATGTCAGTCTCCATCGCAACCTTAATGAAACAAACTGCTTTCAGCTGTGTTTGCTTTGTCCAGGAGAATAAAAGGTTTAGGCTTCATACTATCACAGAACTCACCTTGCGGGCTCTCGCCAACGTTTTAGCCAGTTGCAACAATTCGCCATCAGGCTAAACATCGCAGTCCGAGTCCAGCGCGTGACACCACGATCCGGCCAGCTGATCGACTCTTAACCTAAATCGGCTACATAGCGAGCTAACTCATGATAGTTTCAACGTTGGCAGCTTTTTAAAACGGCCGGCCTACACAGCGATGAACCAAGTGGCTGTAACCACCGTGTTATCAATAAAAGTTATTTTAGATAACATCGATTTCCAGAATCACAAAATCTGTGTCCCGTTACCCAAGGTTAGCTAAAGCTAAAGTAGCTAGCGATAACGGTCTCTTGTTAACTTGTTTAGTTTCAATCTCGGCACATGAGTGAGTCTGGAGGTTGTGCTCACCAATACAATAAAACAGATTTTATCAAATTACCCTAATACAGCTCCATTTGGTATTTTACTCACGAACATTAGCTACTTGGCGTTAGCTGACTTGTAGCTCTCTGCTTTGTTTACGTCGTCTTTTCTGCTGCTAGGCTGCGGACGTTCTTACGTCACCGTGCGTAATCAACAAAGCAGCGTCGCTCAGATTGACCATGGATGCTGGCTACATTTACACAGCTGCTGTACACTTTTGAGTTACTTTTCATATTGAGGTTTAAAATTTAAAGAAATATGATAAACTTATAAAATACAATGCACTGTTAAGATTGAATCAATAGTTTCCAGCCTTTCTGTCTTGATCTCTTGCAAATGCAAATGTTTAAAAAAAAAACTGAGTGAAGAGTGAAGATGCCAGATTTTCATACTGTCCTTGTATTATTTTAGCGTTTATCGTTATCCTTGAAATCTTATTTTTATCCACTTTCCTTCATTGGGTTTGACATAATCCTGACTATACCAGTTGTTTCATATCATCACTAAAGTGAGCTGACAGGAACTGAAAGCAGGAGACAAGAGAGTAGAGGCACCATGGCCTTGGAGGCAGTGTATTTTTTTAAAAGACAAATCTTTATTTATTGCTTCACCAGAATCAGTGATTCTCCTTTTTCCCACCAAAGTCAAAGGCTGTTTTGCAGTTAAACTAAATGTCAAATGTCTGTTAAGGTAAAGATGGATGCACTTTAGTTCCTGGGCTGAGTTATTGTCCCAGTTCATCTCAGCAAGCACTCACAGGTGAGTCTGCAGTCTGCAGAGTGAGGCAGGATGAAGAATGTGTGTCTTTAACAGAGTCTATCTGTGGAAACATTATTGCCCCCTGAGACGGCTTCTACTTAATTTTTATGAGATCTATCTGCTGCTCTCATTATGCTACAGTAATAATCTTTATGTGTTTACTGGGATCCAGTGTGGGCACTGAAACTGACTGAATGGACAGTAATGAGGCCGCTGTCCTTTTGGCTCCAATTTTATCTGAGTATTAAAGAGGTGCTAAGCTCAAAAATGAACTTCAAAGCTTTTAGCATGATTCTTTTTAATGTTTTCCTCTGCTGCCACATTATTATTGTTGCATGGTCTTGTAATATTTCTGTTTTGTTAAGTGAGTTTTAATGGAGCCAGTACTCAAATCTCCTGTTTATTATGGATTATTAATAATTGAAAAGCAGTTTGTTTTCTTCCCTTTACTTTACAGCCCTCTTTACAAAGACCATGTGTAACTAATTAGTAGTAGAAATAGTTTTTGCAGTATATAATAATGATCCATCAGTTCATTATTGGGAATACATATGATTTCTTTCTTTTCTTATTGGTCTGGTGAACACTTCCAACGTTTGATATGTGTGAGCTGTATTTTAATTCCAACTGTTTTTCTAAAAAATTTTAATGAGTGATTTTGTTTTTGTTAGTATTATTGTTTCACACAGTACTTTATCTTTAAAATTGACATTAACAAACACATAACATAACATAACATAACATAACATGACATGACATGACATGACATGACATGACATGACATGACATGACATGACATAACATAACATAACATAACATGTTTTGCATCCATCCGTATAATGCATCCATGGGTTACCTTCTCTTGGCTTTTCCTCATCGCTTTAGCGCCATCTTTTGTTTTGCAATAGCTTATCTAAATTTGTACTGCGCATGCGTTAATTTTCCTTTTCTTGCCCGGGGTAGCTCTTCCTCAAACAGTCAGAGTCATTCTGCCCCGATGAGACTGCGATTCATCAACTTCATCACGGCCCTGGTAAGACTGCGCTTCTCCGGTGTCGTTTTAAGGTGAAGCACAGACGGTGACGTGTTTTCACTGCTAACAGCCCTCCTGTGGTTTTAGCTGTAAACCAGCGAGGACTGCAACTGTCCATTTCGTACTCGACAAATGCTGTTCGTGAGATTATTGGAGTGAATATGACAGATTGACATATGTTTCTATTATTTTGTCTATTTCTGTGTATATAACTGTTATATAACTAAGTGCTCAACTGCTGCATTGTTTGAGGCACTTATTGTCTTTGACTTTCCACTGCACTACATTCACCTGGCACCTTCAAGTACTAGTAATTCTGCAGATTCAGATTAGGGGAGGTTAGTTGTAACACTCCCAATTTCTCCAATCAGGAACAAGTTACGAATCAGCTGATTCACCCAATTCATGCTCAACGTAGTCCTCATTCTACCGGTGAGGAATAGCACCCTGTGGCAGACACAGCGAAGTTTAGAAGGAAAAAACTAAAAATTGAGGTAAAGGGGGTGAATTGTAACATTTCACTCCATGTGTTTGAGACTAAACCGTGCATTTTCTGTTTGTGTTGCAGAGATTGCACCTACACCAATTAATAGCAGACACATGTAACTAGTTTTAGTTCCATTTTCAACACACTGGCTTGAAAGAGCTCCAAGATACAGACAGAAATGTCAAAAATGTTACAACCAGTCCAACCACTCTCCCCTCATAACACAAAGTATAATTAAAAAATAAATCATAATGTATCATTTTTCATTAATTGCCAACGTCACCCAGCAGTATACAAAGTAATTAAAATAAGCCCCACCTTTACGGCTGCAACATTAAAGTGATCTACATATTAATGCATGAATAATTATAATCCAATAATATGATACACGTTATTCTGAAATGGGGCATTCTAGAGTATTTTCTGCATTGTGCTGTTGCTACTTTTACTTAAGTCTGAGCACGTCTTCCACCTCTGTGCATTAGTCTGTGTGTTTATTGTGCAGACTGTGTTTCTAATCCATAACATACTGTGCTGTTGAATGACTTTCCCAGCTTTAATGATGTTACCGCGGCACTATCTTTCAGTGATCATCTCTCACAGCGAATTAATTATTGAGCTGATTTACTTTGCAGTCACAAAGTCCAAACAGCTTCAGTCAGAGCAGAAACACTTCTGCATCTTAAACAACCTGACCGGAGCCAGCAGAAACTGATAGATGGGAAGGAAAATATATTATCTCTACATTCCTATAAATGAGTGAAAATGTGTGAACTTAAAGTGTCGACTCCCAAACACTTCCTCTTTCTTTGCTTTATTTTACAGGTGTGTCTGCCCTCCTGCTTCCAAATGAGTCGTGTGTTTGTCTATGGCACCCTGAAGAAAGGGCAGCCAAACTACTTCCGCATGTTTAACAGCACCAATGGGAAGGCTGAGTTCATCGCCTCGGCTTGCACCACTGAGAAATACCCACTAGTGATTGCCGGCAAGCACAATGTCCCTTTCCTCCTCAACATCCCCGGCCAGGGACACCGAGTCAATGGAGAGATCTACAAAGTGGACGACGCGATGCTGAAATTCCTGGACGACTTTGAGTGTGTCCCCACCATGTATCAGCGGACTCTGATCAGTCTGGAGGTGAAGCAGTGGCTGGGGCAGACAGAGGGAGAGGAGACGGCGTCACGGGGAAGCATCACGGAGGCCTTCGTGTACAGCACCACATCGTACCAGCCAGACTGGCCCGCACTGCCCAGCTATGAGAGCTACGACGCATATGGAGATCACGGGCTCAAGTACGTGACCAGAGAAGCACGAGATTGATGGAGCTTTCTGGTGCATTTTCTTTTTGCCTCCTTTTTATCTCAGTGCATTAGCTAATTAAAATTGTCTTTATTTTAATTATTATAGATCAACTATGAAATATAAAAATCTAATTAGAGAGCTTTTATTATAATGTAATTCCTACAATATACACTTTCTTATTTAGTGCCAGTTCTGTTGAGCAGACGCGCATCAATTTTCTTTGTTTAAAAGGAACTACAGTCTAAACGGACCCGCTTGCTCATGTATCATCTGTGTAATATTTCAACACATTATGTTGGTCTCATAATGTAATTTCCTTGCAGGTCTCTAATTGAATTGACTCATTTGAGGTTACTAAAAAGGCTTTACACTTTGTGAAACGTTGCACTGTAAATACATTTCAAAGGGCATGCATCATTTACTTGCAATTTCCAATTACCTGAGACAGAAATACCACAGTAGTGATTAACATGTTGAACTGTACGTGCATGTAACAAGCTGTGTAACTCATCTCCTTCTACCTGAGGCCATCCACTTATCAGTCACCCCTCATCGACTTCCTTTCAGACAGCATTTGGAACGCTTGTGTGTGTGTGTAAATGTGTTAAGTCAGAAGGTGACATGACTTGAATGTGCTTCTCTAAATTACAATGATAAAAACATTCAAAGAAGGCATTATGAAACACTGGAGTAACCACACAAAAGCTGCGTTTGGTTACTTGAATATGTCCTTTGTCCCAGAGCTTGACCTTTTGTACCCATGATTACATTCTGCTTTGTTTTTCACAGTTTTCCTTTATGTTATCTTGTTCTAATCCCACGAGGGGCTGCGTAACTGTGAAAAGCAGATCAAAAAATAAAAAAAAAAAAGATACCAGTTTCTAGGTTGTCTCATCTTTTTCTTATGAACACAATCTTTTCTCATCTTTATTTAAAATAGTAAAATCCAGAAATTCTGGAGGAATACAGAAGACAAGGTTTTTTTTTGGCAGTGAACCAGTGAAATCTCTGTTGGCGTTGGAAGCAGTTTGGAAGCCGTTTGTCCTTTTTAAAGACAAAACTTGCAGGAAAACAAGAAGAAAAAAAAATAATAATGAGAGAAGAACATTTCACAGTGTATCAAAGTACTGTACAAATAGTCGCCTTACAAAAAGGAAAACATGGATGTTTTCTAATCGTGTCCGAACCGGCATCACATTTAACTCAAATTATACATAGATTGTCATACGAACAAAAAAAAATACTCACCATGAGTGTGTTCACATGCACACAGATCTCCACATACACTATTAAATCCTGGTTTGTGTCTTATTCAAGCTTATTTATATACATTTTTAAAAACTCTATCACAATGTGTGGTTTGACAGGAATATTTAAAATATTTTAAATCACCAAGGAAACTGAAAAGTAACACTAAATGATGCACACACGTATGCTTCAGCGTCCCAGATGTTTGTATTTGAATGAGATTTATGATAAATATAAAATCCTCCTTACTGTAAACAGGGATGTTGTTGGTGTGAATATTAAATCCGTGTGTGTGTGTGTGTGTGTGTTTGTGGGCATGTGAACATCACTCAATGGCACAAGCATAAACAGTTGGTCAGGAAATGTCTGGCATAGAAAGAAGTAAAATGACATTATTTAATACATCATGGACGACTTCCATCACAGCCTCTAATCAGACACTAGTGGTGCAGAAAATGTGTAATAAGAGGGTGGATAGAGGAGGTGAAGTGGAAGCACCTCTGAGTGATGTGTGTGTGTGTGTGTGTGTGCGTAAAGAGTATGTGATTCAGCTATTCAGAGGTATCAATTAGTGTCGGATCTGAGCGCCGGCTGCGTGCAACATGATTCTGTGTCTTCAACAAGGAGTCTTTTCTGGTGTTTGTGCCGTCTGAAGTCCAGATCTTCACCCAGGTGAAAGTCAGCGAGGAGGAGGAGGAGGAGGAGGAGGAGGAGGAGGAGGAGGAGAGCTGAAGGTGCAGATTCATCAGTAAAGGTCTTTCCTTGTGCTTGGCAGGGAGTGGCTGGTGGAGCAGGTGGCGCTGCGGATCACCTCCATCCACCTGGAGACGAGAAAAAATGACACACACAAAACAAAGATAGTTGTTAATATAAAATCAACAATGTGTTTTTTTCCATACATATTCCAACCTCCCACATTACTCTTCTTCCCGAGGACAAAACGAAATATAGATTTGATGCGGTGTGAACGGCGTCGCAGAGGAAAGAAACCCCCCCCCCGTCAGTGAAAACCCAAAATACCGCACCTTTCAAAGGTGTACTCGCTCTCTGATCTGAAGTAGTAGACGTGGGATTTAAAGTGGAGCTTGAAAACGTAATCTTTGTGGATGTTCTCCGACTCGGCTGGGACGGTGACGGAGTAGCCCAGCAGAGGAAGGCTCGCCAGAGGGTAGTCATCCTGCAGGGCGGACAAACAGAAGGCAGCAAAAGCTTTTCCGTGAAGCAGTCCTGCCACCACATAATTCCCCTGTCATGTTCAATACATTCCTGTGTATCTTACCTGATGCGATTTGTAGAAGAAGAGGCTGAAGTTGGTGAAGACCACCCAGAGTTTCTGCCAGCCGTTACTGTTCTTAAACTTCCTCAGCAGGTTACCTGACAGCTGGTTCTGGAAACGCAGAAGAGCAGAGGAGGAAAGCCAATGTAATAAAAGACACACATGGCTCAGTAAAGTAACACAATGTCACTGAGTTTATTATAGTGTTAAAGCAGGGGTAAAAAGATAACAGCTCTAATTCATTTGCAGTTATTCAGGAGTGACTTAGCAGGGTGCCCAAACTGTTGCACATGCCACAATTATGTTTTTTTTCCCCCTAATTTTTCATTTTCTGAAAATAAAAGTAACAGTGCATTAACAATGATTTTTTTTTAAATGTCTGTTTGCTGCAGGGGCTGTATTCACTTCTTTTCATTTCGTTTGGCAGGAGGGGAACAGTGGGGATTCAACAATCCAGTCCTTTTGTTATCAAAGCTTTTGCCCAGTGAAATTGGGGCGACTTCTATGTTCCATTACTAGAGAAATTTCTGGTGAATTTGCTGACAGGGACCGTTTCATTCTGAGCAGATGTGGCTGCTGCAGTACCTCTCTACTCCAGCGGGCGTCACTAAAGGACAGGCTGTGTGTCCTGAACCAGCAAACCACAGATGGGGACACTGGCCCCTGACGTCTGCCGAGGGGCCTCTTCAACTCACTGGCTGGACTACTGTCCTCTAGCAAAGCCAGAGTGGATGGACGGTGGGGGTTGAAAATAGATGGAAGGGAGAGGAAGACACAGGGTGGAATAGATGGATGAAAATGGAGGGGTAGAAGACACAGACATGCGAAGAAAAGTAAGACAAAGGACAATGGGTAAATGGTCCTTTGTCTGTGGAGAAGAAGACGAGGGCAGACAACACACACTGGACAACAACAGACGACTGGTCTCCACAGCTAGAGAGGGAAAACAGGAGTGTGATGTGTGGAGAGAGAGAGGACGATTAAGAGACACAAAGCGCACGGAGAGCGGTACCTCCACAGCAACACTGAAGTCCACCATGGACACGCTGGTGTTGCGATGCCAGCAGACGTGCACGGTGGTGTTGCCACGTTGACCCTGGCGCTCCAGAGACGAGCGCGAGCCGCAGAGCTCCTCCTCCGACTCCTGCTCCGCTCCGCTGTCCTCCAGCAGCTCTGGGGAACAACGGGCAGGTCAGACACGCCGGTTAGCAGAAGGAACTGTGCGCTCCGCGGGTGGGGTTGAAAATGTTGTTGTAATATAAACACTTTACGGGTTCCTGTTGTTCCTGCTCATCTTTTGAACTTTAATTGGACATTTGCACATAAAAATGTTACATGAAATATCATAGACATGTTCATTTAAATTTCTGTGCTCTAAATATAGAGGCAAAAAAGGTGACACTAATACCAACCCCCCTCCCCTTCAGGAACTTAATGCCAAAGTGCTGATGTAAAGTACTGCATTAAAGACAGCTGACAAACTATTACAGACACAACCGTTCCCGATGAAGAACCGGTTGTTGACTGACGGATTTCTTTGGAACTTAAGGCTGAAGAACAAGCTCTGCAACATCTTGAGGATTGTTTTGTTACACATGACTGGCTAATGTTCTGTGTTTTAACTGTCTCCAGCTGGAGGTGAACATTTCCAGTCTTCTTTGCAGCAAACGAGGCCTGGTTTGGATTTCGGGCTTTGGCTTTTTTTTTTTTTGGTTATACGGCACTATTCATAGACATCGACCCATTTTTAAGACTCTGATGGAGATCTGTGACAACAATCTGACTTTTATTAGATGTACTCTAGCTATAATGGAGCATTGTCACTACTTTGTCTCACCTTTTAGCCTCACAAATCCACCGGGCAGAAGCATAAAATGATACGATTTAGCTCACAGTAGTTTAAGGATGTGTGTAAAAAAATCATTTAGATGTGATTAAATCCAAATACACAGGAACACCTGTTGAGATATTTCACAGTTGAAGAAGCGACAGAACAAAGAGCTGGGCCGAGCGATCAAAGGTGAAAAATTACCCTTTTGTTGTCACTTGTAAGCCGACACTCTTCAACTGGTTCGATTTAAAAATGTTCATAGCGGGTGATTTAGCAGAGGGACAATAGAGACGTCAAACCAAAGGTCACCAGGCGGAGGCCTCATTGAACGGCGCGACAGGCATTTAAGATAAAGAATGAGGAAAAAGATGATGAGGAATACGGGGCGGCAGCTGGGCGATGGACCTACATATATCAGGTGACATTAAAAGTATGATGAAAGACCACCTGGAACATTTCGGTGAGATTATTCACGAGGTGCTGAAAGATGCTGTCTGTTAAAGGGAAAGAAGAAGAGGAGAATTGTGGGAATTGGACAGTTGTGTCTATAGGTAAAGGTTGGTCCATTCCCCTTAAAGAAAGACCTTAGTGGTGGGAGGTAATATTAGCTTCATCCTCAAAGCTGGCGACAAATCACACGTGGAAACATTTCCAGTAAGGATTATGTCGATGACTCAACCAGCTGGGATTTTTTTGGTTCTCACAGGGTTGCAGACAGTCCTGCGATGATGATGATGAATTGATGTTTGGGCAAGAAATAGTTTGCAGTTTAGTGGAGCAGATAACAGTTTGTGTTTGATGGTTGAAAATACTGGAAAGATCTAAATGTTTTTTTTTTTTTTTTTTTACACCCACCCACACATGCACTGAGGGCAGACTTACTGTTGTCAGAGACGCCGGCGGGGAGCAGGTCGGCGCTCGGGCTGCTGCTCTGTTCTGCCAGGTCAATCGCCATCCTGATGTCCTCCACCCACCGCTCCATCTCTGACGCACAGCTGGACACAGACAGAGAAGGAGACAGAGAAAGTGAGAAAGAGAATTTTTAGTAAAATCGTTTTTTTTTTTTTGTTTTGTTTTCAAATTAAGCACATGAAGTGAGAGAAGGACGGTAACCGAGAAAAACAAGTCATAATAAAGTCAACATTATCTCTATATTAAAACTTTTCCATCAGTGAATCAGTGAATGAGCCACTGAATGGAAACTAGGTCACATTAATTAGAGGACAAACAAACTGTGGCAGAGGTCCTGTGGTGAGGAGATCCATTTTTAATGAGTCTGACCTCCATTAATCTTTAAAACTGTTATTCTTAGAGGCACATTGTGTTTATTCATAATGAATGATTGAGTATTTGTTGTGAGAAATTTGCTTTATTTGGTTTCTTTGTTCCGGTCATGTTTCCACTCATTTTCTTATCTTTAATCCTTTATGATGATTTTAAACATTACACTTTCTTTTTGTGGTATTTTTTTCATTGGCATTATTACATAACAAAACATGTCGATTGTGATTTAGTCGTGCTGTATATATGTGCTTATGTGTGTGTTTATGGATACCTGGCTGCCACCACCACAGACTGGCGCTGTCCGAACAAGGTGAAGGAATGAGGGACTCCCCACTCCTCCTCACTTTCTCTGATCTGCACAAACACACACAGCATCGTCAAAACACATCCCACTTGAGACATTTTTCAGGGAGTGGTTTTTTTTTTGGGGTGGGGGGGCACGACACAAAAATCCCAAATCTGGTTGAAAGATTAACAGTACATCCACGTAAACAAAATCCATAACCACTTCTAACAACAACAGAAGAAAAACCAGCGTACCGTCATGCCATAGAGGGGAAGCTGGCCATGAACTTTAAACTGGTTGGACGGGGTCATCCCTCGACTGGTGTACACCAAGGAATCACTGAACTGAGGGGGAAGACAAAGGAAGGGAAGGAAGGAAGGAAGGAAAGCAAGGCCAGAAAAAAGTGTGGGTTATATTCTTTGCCATCATTGATATTAGATATACTCAGAAAAGCAGCTGTAAGCTCGTACCAGGAAGAACATTCTCTGCTGAAGGCCCTTCCCCGAGAGCTTGCTGAGGCAGCCGAGCCTGATGAACTCCTGCAAGTCGAACATAAACATACAATGTTTATGTTCGGGGAAAAGCCTCACATAAATTTGCCTTTTTTTCCCCCAGGGAGTTAGAAATTGGCACAAGAGATTTTTTCACCAAACGTGGAAACTAATAATTTAAAAACAATGAAAACGAGAAAGAGTCTAACCCTCCCGCGGATAGCGAGGTTGTCGATGCCAGTCAGATCTTTCTTCAGCTCCAGAAGCTTCTGGAAGTTCTCCATCTTCATCATGGTGCCTTGAAGCTGCAGCACCATCTCCGAGATATCTGCCAGGGCCGCTGAAGAGGGGGTGGGAGGAAGATGAAAAGAGTTTGCGAAGGGGGGAAAAAAAGGCACTTCCCTCACCCACACATACACTCAAATACACCCTTCCCTCGTACCTCTACTGTCCCTGAAGTCATCGTGGGTGGGCGGGTAGTGCTTGCAGAGCCGCTCCAGGATGAGCTTGTAGTGCAGCAGGCGATGGAGAGGTCGCAGGAGGAAGATGTTGAAGGGCAGGTAGCAAACCCTCTGCTGCTCAAAGTCTCGACACAGAGTCTCCACCTTCCGACTGGACCTGAGGAACAGAGGCGGAGCTTTTCGTGTTTCAGGAATTTAACAATTTCTTTAAATTGAACATTTAAAGCAAAGGTCTAATACTGATAATGCTAGCATTTCCACCGGTTTCATATTCTGCATCATGCAACCTACCTACAGACCCGTTCCAGTTCAACCAGGCACTCTGAATGTTTCTGAAGATGAATTGTCAACTGCTGCGGATGCAAAAGAGAGACAGAAGATACAGTTTCACACACAACGAGGGGACATAAAAATAAAAACAACACAAGGGAGATATAGTTACCCTCAAGCCCTGAATGTTCTTCAGTAAAACATCACCCATTCGTTGGTAGTCTCCTTTGATGTGGGCATTGGAGCGACCCTCCCTGCAAGAGACACACAAGAGAGAATAATTGAGATTTATTCATGTGCAGTAACATTTATTTACCACTAGATGTCACGCCACAGTCAAGTTTCCCCACACATGACTGGAAAAATCTTCCATTATGCCATTCAATTTTACCAGCAAGTACTTGGGCCCTCTCCAAAGGGATGGTTTGTGTTTATATGTGTGTGTATGTGTGTGTGTGTCCTCTCTGTCTGTCATTACATAGACAAGATTCCCATTGGTGGAAAAGATGCAGTTTGCGTGTGCACATTAGTTCCCATGCAATGATGTCACATCAGCCTCGAGGTGAGTGCAAGTCTTTCCGTGTCACATCGTTTCCCAGGTCTGACTTTAAGTGGCACATGGTGACGGTGATATGTGACTTAACAGTAAATAAATAAAACAAGAAAAAGAACAAAAAAATGTTGAATTCATTCTAACCCTTAATTTGTTTTCCTTCCCTTCAGTTTTTCTTGTTTTAACCCCGAAGTTTGGTTTCATGTTATTGTGAAACGTGACGCTTCAGATTAGAACAGCTGATGGAAAACAATGCAGCTGATACAGAAATGCAACAGTGGAGCGACTTTCTTTGTTTTTGTCTCAGCCTGCATTTGCTTAAGCACAATAGCAAATTGCTCAACACTAATCTGGTTTTAAAATGCCTCTCATTTTTGTTTTCCTCCCCCAACATTTGTAAGATATCTGTAATATTTTCCATTTGAAATGAGACATATTGAACTGTTTTATTTTTGAAATTATTTTCCTGTTTTTTCCTTTGAAAAAAAAAAAAAAAAAAAAAAAAAAAAAAAAGAGGCTTTTTGCGTAAAACGAAAGTATACTTTATGGAAGTGTATTTCAAACACACCTGCGCTGTGTACCATTCCACAGGTGAAAATGTCTCTGATGATTGTAACAGACTTATCAGTTTTCTGAATGGGAGTAAACAGACACTGACCACTGTGCCAGACGCTGCTCCACCTCCTTGAGGAATCCCTGGTGGAACTTGTGAACCGGATCGTAGTTGGCAGAGATCAGGTCCTGCACAGAGTCGGGAAACGCCTCGTCTTTCCCCACAAAACTCTGGAAGGACTGTGATGGACGGACACACACACACACACACACACACACACACACACACACACACACACACACACACACACAGGTAGAAATAAAGATAGTTAGTTATATGATGTGCCTGAATTTTCAACTCAACATTTATCTCATCTCTCATCTTCATAACTGCTTCACTACACAGCTTTTTAATTTTGGAGTTTGCTTTTCTTTGTCTCATGAGATAATACATGAGATAATTCATTATACATTTTGGGGTTTTGGAGCTTTAGGAAACTGTGATGGGCATTTGCACCCTTTTCTGATATTTAGAGACCAAATGATTATTCAATTAATTGAGAAAATAATTGTCAGAATAGTCTATAATGAAAGTAACTGCTGCTTGCATCACTAGTTCAGGCCGGTGTATAGTCAAATTAATTATGCTTTTAAACAACACACACTCTTCTGCGTTTAAGAAATCATTTTTGGGACAAGAATGAAGTGAATGTAGTTTAAAAAGGGAACCACACACACAAACACACACACACACACACACACACACACTGCTGCTATGATCACAACAGACCCCTGAGGTGAAGGTTGGTGGGTCAGAAAGAGTTATTTGACTTGAGAGCACAGAGACATTTGTTTGCACCAAGGAAATCCATCAGCTAGCTCACACACACACACACACACACACACACACACACACACACACACACACACACACACACACACACACACACCTCCTGGCCCCGAGCAAGTATACTACAACCCCTAACACAAAGGTTGTTATATTCCCCTTCAGAGCAAATCCCACACAATCATGACAGCTAGTGCCGACAGGAGGTCGTCCAGCTGTTTCACAGCGGGACTCGCTGGGAGAGAGGAAGGGTGACAGAGTGGAGAGGGAGAAAAGAGGGGGAGGGAAGGGGGGAAGGGAAGGGTGTGGGAGTTCAGGCCTCAGCGGTGCCAGCCAAAGAAAATATTTAAGAGGTTTTAAAAAAGCACCAGCGCACGCCTCCCTCCCACATCAAAGAGGGTGGAAACTACTGTTGAGAAGGAAAAAGAGCTGAGAGGGAGAAAAATACACAGGAGAGGAGGAATATGATATTATTTTCCCCTCCACACTGAGGTCAGAAGTTATGGTCAGCTTCATAATATTAAGGTGTATGGGGTGTTCAGCAGGCAGGTGCTTGAACCTGTGTTTTCCCCTCTGGTGGTCTTTACTCATTTGTTAGGAGAGTGGAGTCCCATAAAGGGCAAAGACAAAATCTCACCCACATTCAGCTGCACTCTCATCCCAGGATTCAGGATCCAGACATTGTGTTTTGTGAACGCAGAGTGTGTTGATCTTAGAGGTTTTTACTTGTAAACTAAAGAGCTGGGAGCGAAAAGTCAAGTTAGTGTTGAAGAACAAACAGGAACCAAAAAGTTCGCCAGCTTAAAAGGAGGTGAGTTTTACCAGATGTGTTGCTTTCTGGTGAAAAACAAAAGGCTGAATGTCATTTTAAAAAACACTTTAATATGCGCGCTTCGGAGCTGTATTTCCATCTGTCATCCGTCCTGAAAAATGCTCATAAATCTTCAGATGTTGAGCCTCGGTCTTGAGTCGTGGTCCAAACTACACGCACATAAAAGCCAGTTTTCAGGGTGGGAATAAAAATACTGGCACTGTGCGTTCAAACGGGTCTAATAACACAATGCAATATTAATGTCACATGACAGAAAAGACCGTCAGCTTGTGATTTTGGTTCACAATAAAAAAAAATAAAGACCGACTTCAGCTCCTTGTCCTGATATATTCTGGCTTTCAAAAAAAAACCAAACTCAGCTCAAAGTCCCATTATTCAGGCTGTAAAAACTGCTCTTGCATTGCACAAACCAACTCCTGACTCACTGTCCCAACATATGAACTTTTAAAAAAGCCCAACTTTTCTTCACTTTCTTCTGAAATAACCAGCTTTGACTCACTATTCCAGAAGTAAGGTTTTAAAAGAGACCAAACTTGGCTCGCTGTCTGTGTGCGTGCTGAGCAGGGCTGTGCACTTTAGGGGAATGTGTTTACACTTGGCCAGACAAGCTCCTGGTCTTAACACAGATGGCATTACGTGTATCTCTCTCTCTCTCTCTGTCTCTCAGCCAGAGCAGCTTCTCCTGTCCTTATCGGAACTACAGAAGCCGCAGAGATGTTTAGAAAAATCCTCACCTCTGTGATGACCTGCAGGTCTTTGAGGTAGGTCCGCTCTGTGGTCAACAGCTCCTTGGCTATGAAGTAGGCCTTGTCTGTGGGAAACTTCTGGACACAAAGCGAAAGATGAGATCGATCCAACTGTCCATCCATCAAATCCAAGCATTTATACATTGCTCTTGTTTTCTATTGAAAACAGCTTTAATCTGTTTATCCATCCATGTATCATTTATTTAAAATTGAAATTTACAATGAACTTTTATGGAAATTCTTCAGTTTTTCTTTTGGATAAACGGTTAAACAAATAAATATGTTTTTGATTAACATACAAATATCTTAGAGGATATCAATAGTTGTATATCCCTTTGAAAAATTACAATATCCATCTTTAACTCATTTAAGATTTCTATGCATAACATTGCAAATAGCAGCATCTATTGAATTGTATTATAGCATATCTTCTAAAGCCTTTCTATCATTGGACACACTGCATGATGGGTTCTCTTAATCGTGCGAGGTGTTCGTGATTAACAGGAAGCGGCTCTGACACATCACCTTAGAAGGCACGCTATTGGCTATCGATTCAGTGTAGGTAGATGTAAATGTAGTCGAACAAGCCACTGCAGGAAGCTCCAATGAATCACACTTTGAATATGAAATTCTCCACCACCCCCCCCTTTCTAAATGCCCACCTTCCTCCTCGCCTCCTCCTCCTCATCATTGCGGACGTATCCGGCTTCAGTGAGCAGCGGGCTGGTGAGCGGCGACAGCTGCCGTCCCTCAGGACTCTGACCTGGACCCAAGACACCTGTGCTGCCCATCCCCTGTCCATTTACTGAGCCGTTGCCGTTAACAACCACATGAGGACTTCCCAGCGGAGAGTCGTCTGAAGCGGGACTTCCTAGGGGAGGAAAGGAAAAAATTGGAAAATGGAAAGGGGAGGGAGATAGGGACAGGAATAGAGCGCAGAGTGAGATAAGAGAGAAGATGGCAGGGGAGGATAAGGGATGGTGTTATTGCAGATTCTTCATGTACAATATGAAAACTGTTAAACTACTTTCATGAAACTCACTGCCACTTTCTTATCATTTAATTCTTACAGCGACATTTTCCTTCTTTCCTCAGGAAAAGGTTACTTGATTTACCCTGCTGTTATTTTGAGTATTTTCAGCTTTTAGAGGCTAAAAATATGAACATATTCCTCTAAATGTAGCCACCCAGTATGGCAGTGAATTTCATGGTTGGACAATCCTGCACAATCAATCTATGAGTCAGGACTGAAAATGAGCAGCTGTTGTGTTCCAGCAGGTCGCCACTTGACAAAAATGCTACAATCCCTCGACTCTGAGCAAAGCTACATCTACTCTGATAAACTATTTAGATCCTCATCTTAAATATGATGAAAATCAGAGTAAAAAAGGAGAGAAAGATGGAAAAAAATAACAATAAATGTTAAGTACACGGTTAGCAAGGAGCTATGGATTATACAAGCTTATTTACAAGACTTTTAATAAAGGCCATATCTGTGCATTGTAAAGGCAAATCAAACATGCAATCATGCATATTACAAAGCTGTCAACTAACACTTACTCTCATTATTAGTCACTCACTAATAATCGACTAATTGATTAATTGTTGGGATTGCATTATGACAATCTATGAATACAACACAAGTCTTTCCATTTCCCTTACAATGCACTGTAGATATGATGTTCTATAGCTATGAGATAGTTTGGCTAAAATCATCTGTTTTTTTAACAGGAGTCTGGTCTGACTGTCGTTGAAATCAAATTCTGCAACTTTTTGGGAAATTATTATCATCTGCACAGAAGGATAAAAAGGTTAAAGCTACTTTTCACTAGAGCTAGAGTCTCTACAGAGGTTTACTACATGGTACTAAGTTGTTACTGTATACTTGCCCAGGTGCAAAGTTTCCAAAGAGTCCACTGTTACACACCAAACTGGATCATGGGTAAAACCATGGCAACCACTGAGTGCAGATCTGTGACGGGTGCTATAAAAGAACTTACCACCAAACAGAAAACAACTAAAAAAAAAAAAAACTACTACGACAAAAAACACAGGTGAAACAACGAACTAACAGAAGCTAGAAAACACGAAACAAAGACAGGAACGAGTTGAATCGTGTGTGCACACTGAACACCGCACAAAACAACAAAAAAAAAAACACTGCTCTACAGTCTAGCTACCACAACACAAGACACAAGGAAGGGTTGGCAATTCAAGCAGGTGGAGGGTATGTGGGTGGGTGTATGAGGGGAGTAGGCAGGGGTAGAGCTGGACACTGGTTCCCTCTACAGAAAATTCTGGAGTCCCTTTTCTTCGAACATACAAGGTTGTTTTTTTATTGACACTAGTGCTCACAATCAGTTACAGTGTTAAAAAGAGAAGTGAAGGGTAAAGAAAAAAACATCCGAGAAGTCAGAGGAAAAAAAAACCAAAAAAAAAACAGTAGGTGCTTTGAGATGAAAATCAAAAAGGACAGGTGTGCAGGAATACAGGTGTTACAAGAGTAACAGAAAACCAGTGAGTCTTTAGGCCATATAATGAGTGTGAGTTAAGAGAAAAATGGATCATCTCAGTGCCTTTCTTTTGTAAAGGAATATAAAGACTTTGAGGCAGCTCTTCAGCAGCAATTTGACCTCCACATGTCAAGCAGTTATTATGATTTTAAGCTTTAGAGATGCAGAGATACAAAGCCTGTCACTCCACAAACGCTGCGCGCTACAGCTTTGGCATGCATCATGGGATATCAAGTAAATACTATGCGACATGCAAATTAAAACTGCCATCGATCACAAAATTAGAGGAATGGCCACAAAGCCAGTTTATCCCTTCAAAAGAAGTCAAGTCAGTCCAGTAAAAAGTGTGTTAATGTAAACAGAAAGAGAAGCACAGATGTGATGCTAAAATGCCAACGGGTTTCCAATCTTAATCTGATTTAAAGACAACAGTTTGACATTTTGGGAAAGAAGTGTGTTGAGTTTCTTGTTGAGAGTTAGATGAGAAGGTTGATACCACTCTCGTGTCTGCAGGGTACATATAAAGCTACAACCAACAGTCGGTTAGCTTAGCTTAGCATAAAGACTTGAAGTGGGGGGAAACAGCTAGCCTAGCTCTATCGAAAAAGTAACAAAATATGTGCAGATTAAACAAACTATTTGCAATATGCTAATGAGTGAGCTTTAGAGGTACTACAATTTTGTTCATAGCTGAGCCGTTTACCAACTTCCTGTCTAGGCGAAGCAAACCGGCTTCTGACTGTAGCTTCAATATTACTGTACAGACATGAGAGTGGTATCAGTCGTCGCATCCGGTAAGAAATTGAATATGCACATTTCCCAAAATGTCCAACTATCGCTTCAAGCAGCCCAATATCACCCAAACACGATCACATCTCCACAGTGTGTATATCGCAGAAAAGACTACAGTCATTTTACTTTAACTTTTAAAGTAAATCTAGCAAATTTGGCTCTGATTAACCTCCAAAAACATACAAATTACAATACAAAAATCACAATTTCTGTCTGTTACTATATGTACACTTCATTAAAATCACAAAAACGCCTCAATGGAAATGACTTGCAGCAAGTGCTATTTGGTGACAGGCAGTGAAAAGGAAACCAAGGTGGACTCAACTCCAGTATTCAAGTATGTATGTGTGTGTGTGTGTGTCCATCTTCTGACAATACTCGGACTTTCACACCTTGCAAAAATAATGCCATGTCGCTCAATTATATCTTTTTTTTATTTTACACTTACGTTTGCATTAAGCTTAACTTTACTTGTGTCTGTCTACCTTCGCCCCCCCGCCCTCTGTTATAAGAGCACTGGAGTTGAGTCAGCCCTTGTTTTGTACTTGTGCACAGTGAGGAAACCTGGAGCAAAACACAAATGGTTTCTAAATATTAAGAAAAAAAGAAAGACAGGGTGCAGTTAATTAATCATGAGGGTGCAGTAATGAGAAAGGCATGAGAAGTCTAGCATCCCACGTGAAGTGAAGAGGAGTTTGTGTCCGAAAGAACGCAAACCCAAACATTTTTTTTTTGTCGTACTGCACCTACAGCCTCTCAAACATTTGAAACCATTTAGAGCCCCATGACAGAAACACCGAGTGACACAGTGAGAAAAAGCAGAGCAGCATGACAGAAAAGCAGAGACTTTCGCCTCGCCTGGTTAACATGCATTCAGAATAAAGAACAGAAAATGGTGAGAAAACAGTGTTGAGGAGCACCCCCCCAATCCAAAAATAACCAAACATGCTTAAAAACAGTGCATTTACAAAGCATGAACATTTGTTTCAGTAAGAAGCAGTAGCTCTGAGGAAAAAGAAGGTTGCTTGAATTTAAAAGATGATAAAATCTTAATGACATTTTGTCAGGTCACCTCATAGCTTGAACCTCTGTGTTTAAGTATGTATGCTAACTGTAAACAGTAAACTGCTAAAAAGGTAATTAGTGAATAAGTAATCCACCTTAACTCACAGGAATGTCTGTATTTCCCAAACACAAAGTCAGGAAAAAAAAAGTGACAGCTGTTCTTCAAACTTAATGCTAATGTCAACATGCTAACATGCTGATATAATGTTTACCATTTTCACCAGCATACTTAAGCCAGGTAGAATGCTAACGCTTGCTAATTAGCACTTAAGACAAACTGCGCTTAAAGCTGCAGGAAATGTCATTAGAGTTGCAGGCATTTGGTCATAAGACAAGATTTTGACCAGGTGAGGGCGCTAGCTGAAATGTCACATCACCAGGTTAGTTAGTACAATCCATCCTGAGGGGGGGATGGATATGTGTGCCCACTTTCATGGCAATCCACCCAATAGGTGTTGAGACATTTTGACTGCTCGACATCCTGCGAGTCATTTCACCACTATTGACTTTTGGGCAACTTTTTTTTTTTTTTTTAGGAAATACAGACATTCAGCCCCTGGACCGAAGTTCAGTGCAAGAGAAGCGCAGCGATTTCCTTTTATTTACTTAATTCAGCAAAGTTTGTCCCAAGTTAGTTTTTTGCAGTGAAAACAAAAAAAAGTGTGTCGTAGTGAGCAGACAGCCAGCAAATGACAGTGATGGGGATGGGAGGCCAGCACACCTTCAATAAACAGCCTTGTAACAGAAGAGAAAAACAGCATCCAAAGAAAGTGAAAGATAACAGTGAGTTTCCTTTTTTGTTGTTGTTGTTGTTGTGTGGTAGTAGTGCATGCCAAGGGCCAAGCCAAGCAAAGCAGAGAGCTATGGATGGTCACAGGTTTAAGGACGATAGTTGTTGGTTCTGATTATTGATTATCAAGTGTGTATGAATGCGTAAAACCGTGAAAAGAAAGAAAAAAGAATGATAGAAAGAAATAAAGACCCACAGAAGTAGCAGAGATAATGCATCTGAAGTAGAAATGTAGACACACGGAGCTTCAGTTATTATCAAAAATACAGATATAAATGTTGTTTCCCTAACATTTCAACTTACAAATCTATTCAAATTCCTGGTTTTCCACTAATGGTGAATGTAAAAGAGAATTATGACAAACATTTCTACCACAAACATCCAAATTACAGTGCAAGTCGCCCACAACAGAGAGACAGAAACTCAAAGTATGAAAAAGTGCTCTGAAGAAAAGGACTTTAGCTCGGCCAAAACCGAATTCGAAGGCAGACTGACCATTAGCTACAGCGCTCCTCCTCCAACAGATCCCAATAGCTTACACATGAAACACATTTTTTCTACAAGTCAAGTGTATTATTCTAAGTATAACCCATTCTCTACCAAGGACATTCAAATGTACTGTACAATTAGAGGAGACTATCAATTCATGTTATCCTTGTGGTCGGACACAGTCCAAACAGTCCACACTGCTTCACAAACCGTCTGTGTTCCCCTTTAAACCTCCATCACTTCCCATTGAAATCCCTCAATAAACTCCAGCTATTATCTTAAAGCCTTTCTATTGCACAAGACAACAGTCAAATAATTAGAAAAGTTTGATCTTAGAGAAAATGCTACATCAGGGAACTACAACATTATAACTACAAACAGATTCCTATCAGGGTTTAATTATACAGCAAGGCAGCAGATCCTGGTCAACTCGACAGCTCTCAGAACGAGCCATCAAGCTAAAATCAGTGCCACCTACAAATCAACTTATGCCTCGCTTCAACATCTTTATATCTCGACAACAAACGTAGTTTTTTCTCATTGACAAAAGTGAGCTACAAGCAGCAGAATTTCCTCCTAAATAAAATAGACTCACATGGATTATATCAATGCTATCAAATGATTAGGGAAGAATTGTAGAAATCTCTTCCTCACAAAAACTACAACTCTACACTTGAAGGTTTACCTTTACCTTTCAATTTCTATGACAATATCCCGACTTCCCTACAAAAATCTGTATTATTCATCTGCACATGCTCCTATACAGTTTTTAAGTTATGGCACATTATAAGAAGGTTTGCTCATTCTTTAACTGTTTTACAGAGAGCTGGCAAAATTGCCTCAAGGCTTTTAGTTGATTCTCCTTTTGACAAAGTGCCAGCTGAAGTTTTTACTATGTGTAAAGTTGGACTCAGGTCAGCTGTTTTGCGAAGGGGCTCGCATACAAAATCCGATACAAAAATTGTGGGGTTTAGAAGCGAAGTAAAGGACGATCGCTTCATCTAAAAGTCAGGTTCTGTAGGTGTTTCTATTCACAGTTAAAAAGCTCACGATATGTAAAAATGTCCTCATTCCAAAAATATGTTAGTGTCTTTGCTCAAAAGGTGTATCACAGCTAAACTAATGTAAAAAGGTTCAATATTCAAATATTAATGGGATGGTTTTCAGTCTTCCTAAAAGGTAGTTGAGTGGTAGATTTTTGAAAACTCGCCAAAAGGATGAAACCAGCTTTACAAAGTCGTTTATCTGTTATATACTAAATTAAGATATTACTATTCTTACATAACAGGATTAGATTTATTGCGCATAATAATGATTAATTTGAGCCTCAACTATGTCTTATACAAATCCCTCTCAACAGCTGAAAACCTGACCGCCTATATCTTCCTCATTAAAGTGGTAACATCCCTCCTCCTCTCCCTCTCCATCTTCCCCGTCCCCCAGCTGCAGACTCCCGTAGGAGAATTTGTTACGAGGCAGCGGGGACGAGTGCACGCCATTCGAGTTGACTGAATTGAGGGAACTGACAGCGGCAGGGTTGCCGTACATTAACGGCTGACTGTACGCACTGCTCCCAGTGTCTGACTCAGTGTCACTGGTGTCAGTGCCGCTGCTGGTGGACCCGTCGATCATCTGGACCGGCTGGTTTAGATTGTTGTGTAGGTTGGGTTTTCCCTGACGGCCAAACAACCGCTGCACCGTACTGGACCGCGCCTGACTTGGAACCACGTGGTTTCCCACATGATTGCCGTTAGTTATGATCATCCTTCGCTCCATCGGGGCAGAGCAAGGGGCTTGGGCGTGCAGCCCGGGGCGATGAGGGTCGCGGTGGTGGATGGGAGTAGAGGTCAGCTGGCTAAGAATGAAGGGATCAGTATCAGAGCGGTTCCTCATGTTGTTGTTGCAATACGGTTTGGCCACATGTGTCGGTGTGCGGTTTGAGGTGATCGGGGAGTAGCTGCCGTAGTGGTTCGGTGGGTGGGATGACGGCGGGACAGTGGGAGTCTCCACGGGGACCGCTCCCGGACGTTTACTGAAATAATGACCGCCGTCATCCCAGCGTGAGCCTGAGCGCGGCTGAGCATGCCCGTTCGTCGTCTCGGCGTGACTGAGCGAGTTTGTGCGGTGGTGGAAGCTGCTGATCACCGGGCTGGAGCACTGACTCCGAGTCCCAGTTCCTAACGGTCGACCTATCGCAGCAGCTCGCTTGTCTCGACCCTGAAAGATCTCGTCCAACAGCGTGCTGTGGAGGGGAAGACGACCATGAAACGAACCTCCATTTGACAAGATTTCATCATCTGTTAGCTCGTGACTCAGACTAAACTTATTAGACACTGGAGCCTGATCTGCATTGTTTCTGTTACCCAGCATGCCCTGCTGGTGATGCTGCTGCTGCTGCTGCATCAGCCCCTGGTGATTGGTGTGGTAAAACCCATTAACAGCCCCAAACAGGTTCCCAACTTGCCCCCCATTGCGAATTCTACTCTCATGCTTATTATTATATGCAGCAGGCTCATCCTCATTGCTGTCATTTGCATTGCTGTGGCCCCTGGTAACCCTGCCGTGCTTTGTCACATCACATTCACTGTCTATGTCGCTGCAGTCTATGTAAGGAATAGAAGAGCTGCTGCCTTTGTTTGCCCTGCAGGATGGACCTGGGTTGAGGAGCTGCGGCTGCGGCGCTGATCCGGTGCCGTGGTGGTTCTGTCTGGACTGAATCGGGTCTGAGCCAGGCGCTGCAGGTATATCCTGAAAACCGTTGGCGGAGGCCGTGACCAGTGGCGGCTCCTCCGAACCATTAGACTCAGCTTGGAGGCCCAGTCTGGCCGCGTCAGGCTGGTCCGCTAACGCCACAGACATGGCACTCTGCAAATGAGAAATGGGGAGAAAAAGGGAGTGATGGGTTAAAGTGGAGAAAGGGAGAAAAGCTTCTTTTTTTTTTTTTTTTTTAACTGGGCTCTTAAAACAGAATTACTCACTTTGAATAATTTGTTATTTACGGGAACAGTTTTAAGAGAGAGCACACATTTACACACACTGACTCCCTGGAGCTACCCTGGACAAAAACAGCTTTGTATTTTTGGCCACAGAGCAGCTCCAGATTTAAACAGCGAGATAGAGAGATGTAGTAAAAACAGGCGAAAAGAGCCTATAAAAGTGCACAACCTTTCCAAAAGAGTAAAATGCCATAAACAAGACTATGGGGGAATAAAGATCCGTGCCGTATTACCTCTTTTGGCACTTGTGATCTGAAGGAAGACGACTGGGGGGACATGCCGCTGTTGGACAGAATCTTGCTGTGCTTCCTGAAAAGAGCAGAGCGCGCAGAAGAGGTTAAACCATGTGCAACTCATCAGTAAAGAGAGAGATGTGATTACTGGTTTGTGTCCCTGCTGCAACAGTAATTGCTGCGATGTGAAGGACGCTGGGTACGTTGCATCCGTCTCACGCAATCCTGCTTCTGTTGCTGGAGCAGCAATCAGACAAAAGGAGGGAGAGCTTCACCTTTCAAATGGGACTTTCTTGAGCTCCGAGTCTTTCACATAATCGATGATCTGCTTCTGAGTTCGACCACTGCAGGTACAAGCAGAGAGAAGAAGCAGGTGATGAAACATAAATCAAAGACAAATTCAAACGTATAGTTGTTTCCCCTCTCCTCCCTGTCGATCCTCTCCTGACCTGAACCGGAACGAGGACCCCCTGGTGAACAGGATGGGCTTGGGTTTGGGCTTGGGTTCCTCGAAGAGCCTGAAGAAGGCGTGATACTCTACGCAGATCTTCCAGAAGACCTTGCAACAATCCCTGCTGGCCATGGCGAACTCCAGCGTGTCGTGGTGGGCGTTCTGCTGGAGGACGCAAAAGGCAGGAATGAGTATGGATGGAGACATAGAAGAAGAGGGAAGCGACAGTACAGAGAAAAATGAACAGAAGTCAGAAAAAAAAGGGGAAGCAGGAAAGGGAAAGTGATATAGACTTACAGCGGGGTCTGCTCTCAGCTTGATTAGGAACCTTTTGCGTTTGAAGCTGAGTTTGCGAATCTTGGACCAGTTGAAGGCGTTAATCTTTGTGTACCCCTAAATAAAAGAGATGACATTAAGAGAAGCTGGTTTAATATTCATGAGAAATCCATTATCTCACAAGGGAAAAGATAAGAGAGTGGACTTCAAATGGGAAAATAATCCATTTCATTTTCCTCAAAACACACGGTTTCAGCTTGACTCAATTTGACAACTTCTAATCACACAATAATATATTCTCCACGCCCCAAATAAAAAAAACTACCGTGCGGTGCATTCTTCCGCACTGCTGAGCTGGGTGGAGGCTCACCACAAAACCTCATGGACCAATTAACCAAGTTGTCATTATCAGCTAAATTTTCCAAGATCCCAGCACTCTTTGAAAACTCGCGAGGAAAATCAGAAAACGGTGCAGACTGAATGTAATTGGGGTCAGCGCGGTCGAAAGAGGACGCATCTTTGGCCGTGAAATGCCGACTGAAGCTCTACATTTATGCTCGAAACATGCAGTTAAATAGCTTTCTGTGACCTCGTCTCAGTTTATGTTTCTGTATTCACTCAAGAAAACCTTCCACCATGATGTGAGATAAGCAAGACATTACTAAATAATATGTTTCCTTTTTTTTTTTTTTAAAAAAGACTATTTCAGGAATTCACAGCTCATTCCAGTCTGGTCAAACCTAGATTTGCAGCCTGGTGCTCGTCTCTGCAACAACCTATATTTCATCAAAAATATTTCAGAATTTCAGGTATGTTGTTAAACCACGGTAAGTGAATGATAAAACTAAAATCTGTAACCTTTACTCCACACGAAAACATTCTTCATTCAAATCTTTTGACCACATGCCTTCAGAGGCATGTTTTGAGTGAAGCAATATGTTTAGTTTTCTCTTTTCATCCCTTTTCCTCTGTTCTATAACACACTAAACCCCCCTATTTTTAACCAGATATAAGCAGGGTTTTACCTGGAAAACCAGCACCCCAGTGTGAGCCACGGACAGGCTGAGCTTCGTCCCCTCTCTGTCCTTGGCCGGGTGCAGGCGAACGCCGTACATCTCCAGCCGCCGAGCGATTTCCAGCAGCTGGTAGTCTGACTCTGCTGGAGTCTGCCCGCTGTGGAGGAGACGGATCAACAAGTCCAGCAATTATCCATCAATCAACATGTTAATCAATCATTAGCTCATCAGACTCTTCAAGGCAATAAATCTAAGTTTGTGGATTAATTGTGGACAATCAATATCCCTCACACAGTGTTCATGTGTCATTGTTTGGGCTGTATGTACCAGATGTTAGACATGACCCAGTCCAGGTTTCTCTTCCAGACTGATCGAGAATGTAGAAACAACAAACAGTCTTAAAATACACCACAGGATCAAATGGCGGTGACCGCCGGGGGAGGAAAGAAATCGACCGCAGAAGACGTTTGTTTCCTCGCAAAATCTGAAAATAGCTTCCTGTTTCCTGTATGAGCTGCTGAATTAGCCACTTCCTTCCTGTGTCGGTGAGCGAGAAGCGGAGGGAGCAGGGAGGGCAGGAGCCAACAGAAAGAGAAGTGGTGTGTGGTGGGTGCAGAGTGCGACCGTGACGAATAATCAACAAGTCGGAGGTTTGGTTTTCGGCTGTGGTTAAAGAAGGGTTTTAAGGGAATTTGCAGTTGCAGAAAACAGGGAAATGCATTTGTCATTGGTGTGCAAACAGCGACGAGGAAAGCACAGCTATACTGTAAATGAGAAGATACATGTAGGTGCAAGTCTGTGTGTGTGTGTGTGTGTGTGTGTGTGTGTGTGTGTGTGTGTGTGTGTGTGTGTGGTCCCAGGGGCGTAGAGGGAGTGCCAAAATCGCATGTTTGCAGATAGTCACCTCTGCGGGGGAGAGATTAAAAGTGTGTGTATGTGCACATGAGCAGTTGTGGTATAAGAGATAAACATCTCTGCAGGAGAGAGACGTATGAGGCTGGGTGTAATTGTGTAATGGGCGTGTGTGTGTTTGCGAGTGCACTTTCAATAAACAGATAAATATCTCTGTGGGTCAGACTTACAGTACTGTGAAAGTACATGTGTGTGTGTGTTTATCTAAAAGTGTTAACACCACCTGGAAACAGATTAAAGCTCGGCTCAGTATTGTTTTCCAAGCAGGGATAATCTTAACCAGCTATTTCCAGGTAAACAGTGCTGCTCCTCTAACTGTCTAACTAAGATTATTTCAGTCTTGGTATTAATGCTCAGACGCTGTGAAAATCACTGCAGTATATGTTCTTCCTTATGTTTAGAAATACATGTCAGCCTCATAGAGACGATTATTACGGCTTCTCAGATGCTTTTCACTGTTTTCTGACATTTTATCAACTAAAACAGATAATTACTATACACACTAAATATTTTGCATGTAATATATTCATTAAATGTTTGCATCTGTGCACATCCAAGCAGCTTTGTGGACACGCGTGACTCACACGTGCTTGCGGTGGCAGTCGGTGATCTTGTCTCGGATGGCGTCCTGGTCCGGCAGGTACTTGTTGTGGAGGAGGTGCTGCCAGCTCTGGGTCTCATCGAAGTCTCCTATCTCCGCTGATGGAGGGACAGAAGGGAGAGGGAGAGGAAGGAGAGGCAGCAGACGGGTGAGAGTTCGATATTTATTTGGAGCGAAAATGGAGAGAGAAATTGGAAAGTGGGTGACCTACAAGGTGAAGAGGAGATTAAATAAAGATGGAGATTGTTGAGGAAAAGGAGGTCAAGGAGTTTTAAGGAGGAAATTATTATTCCTATCTGCACTGTTCATTTGAATCCTACACATACTCTATCTCTATTCTGTTCTACTGTAGATCAGATGAAGTGTGCCGATGCGTGTGTCTCCATCTGTTCATAACCAGCAATAATAACCCCTCATACTGTACCACCCGCAGGTGCACACACACGCACGCACACCAGCACTGACGGTTACCGTGGCAACCGAGTCGTATCCTTTAGCAGGCTGTGCTGCAGCTCGCCTCTGTGTGCGGGACTGAATCGAATCCATAAATTCAATAAGTCCTGCAGATATGGTGCTGAATAAGAACAGTCACTGAGGTGCAGGCGCAGGCGGCTGAACGGGCAGGTGTGGAAATACAAATGTGAGGAAGGCTGCACACTGAGGAAGAGCTCCCACACTGTGTTCATTTCATTCAGGTATCATGCATAATGTGATTGGTTTTAAACATAAGGAAACTGATGATTTATGTAAATGATAAAACTGTGGAACACAGACAGAGAGTCTCATGCTGGCACACGTGAGGGAGACAGCTTTGTATTTTATTCAGTTCATTTTGAACCATAGGAGCTGCGTTAATATCCCAAAAAGAAATATGGCACATGATAATTGTGTAATTGCTGATTTATGGTCAGTCCCACAATGAAGAACTAGAGTTCTTTTCCATATGGAAAACATAACACTGCTGGCTTCATGAAGCTGTTGAGGCGATGGCTTTTTGTTATTCATATGTAGGTGGATTTATTCAGACATGACAGGGTATTTACAGAAGGAGCCAGTACTTGACAGTACTTTTACGTATGCGCCTGTATGTGTTGCACTCACACTGAATGATGTGGGAGACCATGAGAGCGGCGCTGGTGTCGTTGCAGATGAGACGACCACAGGCAAGGTCGCGTTTAATCTGCAGCGCGAACAGATACCTGGAGGAAGAAAAAGAGAGCGAGAGAGATACGTGGCGGAGAGAGTGAGAGGGCGGAAAGAAGGAGAGCAAGGAGGCAGAAAATGGAATACAGAAAGGGAGAGGTTAAGAGGTTAATGCATGTTCTACAAACTTACCAGCTGACAATGTTAAAAGCAATTCCATTACCACCAGACTCCTGGCGTTCATCCACACTCAAACACACATACCGCTGATACATTGCATATACCGACTCCAAACTAATCCCTAATTGAGAAAATGCCCATTTCTGTTATTCATTAGACAGTCTGCTCCTTACAGCACGATCCAGACCTCATAAACAGAGTCACACACACGCCCGTGTGTGTGTTGCCAGGTCATGATGCTGCATTTCACTCAACTATCAGCAGAGACTGCACCATAACGTAGAGAGTGGTGCAGACTGCATTAAGACAGCTGACTCTAAAAACCTTCTATCAGCCCAAAGAGAGTAAGATTGATTGGACACACATGTTGTATAGATCCTCTAAATTTGTACTGATGCGTTTTATTTCTTTGAGGATTTTATTTCTCTATTCTACGGTGATAACAAAGGAATACAATCTGTGAGCTTGGCTGATTCACCAACCCTCTGCTTCCTGTATAAGGGCAATAGCGGACTGGCTGCCTGAGGTACGCATTAATAGCATGTGTGAATGGGTGTGGGATTAATGGCCCACATCAGCTTTTTATGCGATATCCAATTCAAGCTTTTTATAACTGTATGATTACCTCGCTAATAAAGTTAATGAGGCTGTGGCGAGTTTCTATATTGTTTTATTTCAGCTTCCAGAGAAAGAACGGGCGGGCGATTTTACCATTTGAGACAGCCACGCCAATTTAGTGTAAAATACCAGTTCATACACTGTTATGGAGAATGCTATTTTAATGTATAAGCAACACGAGAAGCAGGAAAATACAATGATTTGTCTTTAAAATCTCACTCCTTTTTAACTACATTACACCCAACCTCCATCACATCAGGGCAACAGTCATTGGCTAGTGTCCCACTTTAATTAAAGGCTAATGACAGCCTGATATATTTACAAAACGGACCGTTCTGTATGTGCACATGTTACCCATCAAAGGAAACAGTGACAACACTAAAACACTGTCAGAGCTGAACAAAGGGAGAAAAAAAAAAGGCTGCCCACTTCCTGTTTGATGCTGGAGTCAGCTGGCACACTACAAGAAAATATGAGATCAGTGGAATAAACTGGCCAGCTGAGCAAACAACGTCAGTGGAAAACATCCACAGCACTGTGAACCGGTGATGGTATTCCGTTGTTAAATGAAACTTACAAAACTTCAGATTTCAGTCCTGGTTGATTTGGCGATATCCGTGGTTACAGGCGGCAACGGCAGGTGCGGTTTGATAGCACAGTAAACACTGGCTGAGCAGCTACGACACAGCAGGAGCAGCTGCTGTATCTGTTTACAGTGCAGCCAAACAAACTCGCATTGTTTTAGTCAAAAATCATCATTACATTATTGTATACAATTATTGTATTTTTTCTTAACCGTACCCCATGAGTCCAACGATGTTGCAGCGAAATGCTAAATCTATGGAGTACTGTTTTAACGCAGCTCTGATCCAGTGTTGGGTGAGAGTACGGGGTTAAATTACACACACACACACACCGGATTACATGCTGCATCACTTCCTGTGAACCCCTCGTGTGTGTGTGAAAGCAAGGCGGGGGTTTGATTTCATTTGATTTCATGAAAACCTTCAGGATTATAACTTCCATCGCAACAGATCCCCTCACAGATGAGAGGCACAGTGAACACTTCCTGCTTTGCTCTTGTCTCAAGTAAATCCAGCTGGGCAGCTGGAGGGAAACCGTGGCACCATGGGAAAATGTAGAAGGTCAAGTATTTCTCCTATTTATGTTTTGGTTGTGTGACGGAGAATTGTGTTTTACTGTAGAAGTCCCGAATTAGCTAAGACAAACACAAGCAATGCTGATGAGCCAAAACTAAACTAATAATAATGATAATGAGAATGAGAATTTACACTTTAGGACTGAGGCAAAAGGTGGAAACGTGAACTAATTGTCTATATAATATCATCTAAAACCCTTCTCTGGCTGTCAGAGATGAATTTAGGATTAAAATATGTCAACCAGAGTACGAAACTTCACTCTTTTTACAGTAAAACTGCTTGATTCCCAAAAGTGGTCATGGCATTCATCTCCTTTCAACTGGTTTGGAACAACAAATGTTTTCATGAGCCTGGTTCCCAGATGACGATCAAAACTTTCTCATTTGGAACCAGAAAAGGAAAAAAAAAAAAAAAAAAAAAAAAAAAAAAAAGAGGCTTCTTAGATGTTGTGGCATGTGGGTATAAATGTGCAACAAATGGCAAGTGACTGACCGGGAACAAGAGAAAATACAAAACAAAACGCAAACATATTGCAACAAGGCCCTCTCTGCTCTATGTACAGATACAGCTGGGAACCATAAATGGTGATTCAAAACCCTCGCGAAGGACTGAAACCCATCTGGCCCGGACGGAAAACCGAGAGCAAAACAACACATCTTTTAATTTAAGCAGCTCTTCTCCAGAAAGGTGTGGTTTGAGTGTTGAGACGACCTACCGAGTCAGCTCCTCCATGAGCTGTGTGTGGTCAGGGGGGAAGAACTTCACCACAAAGCGAAGGATGGTGTTTTTGGGCCCTGGAGGAGGGAAATAACGGGATATGGTTAAGAAGGAAGCAGCGGGTAGAGAGAGAGGTAAAGACACAGAAAAGAGGCATGCAGGATTTAGAAAGATTTGAGTCCATCTGTGTGTAACATTTACCAAATGACTGCAATTTCCTACACATGACTGGCTTTTCTCACTGCACAGTACAGACCAAAGTAAGGACAAAAGAGCACGGTTTTACTCTCGATCATTTCTGCGCATGTGTTTGAAGGGTGAAAGATGAGGCGGCATCTGTGAGATACTCACGTCTGATCTGTTTCAGCGTCGGCTTCAGCAGATCCAGCCACACCTGCGGAGGACGGAGATCAGGACAGTGTATCAAAGACTGACGGTTGTGGGTTTTTTTTTTTTTTTTTCTTCTTCACCACACTGCAGCGATCTTTCTGTATAAAAGGCTGGTTTAAAACAGTAGTTCACCATTTGGCAAATCAGGAGAACTGCTACAACCACAACATGGATCTAAATAATATAAACAAGTCAAATCATTCCAACAGCTCCATCATTTCCCAATAATTTCCAACCAGGGAACTTTCCTAGAAAGACTTAATTATACCCACTTAAACACAAGATAATATCAATCCAGCAGCTGGTTACAACTGAAAACTATTTCTTCACATTTGCTGTAGTGCATGTTCGGCTGTAGAGAAATTACACATATTTGCATGTTCAGCTGGAATTGGTTAGGATGAATTAACTAAAAGTTTACAGACTGAAAGCCATTCTTTAAACCCTTGTAATAAATAGCAAATATGAAACATTATTAATAAAACAGACCAATTCCGCTCTGCTTTCCTCACCTGACACTGATATCTCTATCAGTACAAAACAACCAGGATATTTGATAAAATTACCAAAACGCACCGTTACACTTGGAAAATACAATATGAGCTCCTTAAGGACATGAAACCATCAGGCCTCAAATGCTCTTTGTTCTGGCTTCTGACAGGTCGTGGAGTGTATTTTGGACTCACGGTTTACACACTAGCTGACATCAACATGATAGGAAACCCTGATCCATATCTACCTGGTGTATAGCTTCATGTATTTGTGTGTGTGTGTAACTTCCTGTGTACGTGTGCTGACAATGTTGTCGTTATATATCGCATCACTTGTTCCAGGGGTCCACTTCAAACCTGCTCCTATGCCTGAGAGGCACCGAGACGCGCGGCGAGTGAACGGCCGAGCTACAGACGCACTGTTGTCTTCCAGCTATGTTTCCCTTTATTAGCAGCTTTTTCACACGCTGATGGAGAGCAGCGGTAGAGACAATAGCATCTGCAATCTGCAGACACACCCCTAAGGCATTTACACCAAGTGCGCAAGTTATTACAACCAGCTGCTCCTTCATGAAACAGGTAGAAAAACTGAGTCCAGGCGAAAGCTGCGATATCTTAAAGCCACACAGATGGAGATGAAAGAGATAGGCTCTCTCCATGAAGCACTTCCATTACACATGACTAATCACAACCTCTGAGTGCAGTGTGCACACATGTGATTTAAGCTAAAGTTAACTTGTGGGAAAGAGAGGGGGAAACCTTCTTTCAAGCACTTAGCAAAGTGGAGGAGATCTTCCCAGCCACAGAGAGGAAAATCCTCTGAATGCACCAATGCTAAATGTAGATGTGCGTGAGTCATGTGGCTTTAAACCAGACAACAAACAAGTAAATATTCTGTTAAAGTTTCCCTTCGGGTTGGACAAGCAGGAGAATGCAACAAAGCAATTACTGTTTGTTATTTGAATTTTGACAGTAAGGCGGGAAAATGTGGCTTTTGAGCTGAAGCTACTTTGAGAAATACTGCATGTGTACTACTTTAGTGTAAATTATTATCACTTCCGCCATATGTCAATCTGCAAAAACAACAAGCCGAACAACATAATCTACGGTAACAAATGTCGGAGTGTGTGTGTGTGTGTGTGTGTGTGTGTGTGTGTGTGTGTGTGTGTGTCTTACCGTCATCTTACGGTGGTCCTGGTACTCCAGTCCAAAATAGTCTCCCTCCGTCAGATTGAGATGCACACAAACCAGGTCAAACAGCACTTTGCCGGGGGAGCGTTGCTGGGAGATGAAGAAGAGAGGTGGAGAAAAAACGAATTCGATTAAAATAAAAGAGGAAACTGCAGACGCCACAGTGTCACTCAGCATCTCATCAGAGGGAGTGCTGATAATCGAATCTTTTTTCTCCGGTTATTCTGAAGTGATTTAACTTTGAAAACATCAAGTGAGTGGAAGCAAGTACACCAAAAAAATCCTGATGCCATTTTCTCTAATGAGCCTCCCCTCATTTAACAAGCTGCTGACCTTTGACCCTGATGCGAGGTCTCAGCCTCAGGTTTGGGTCTAATGAATAGCTGGAGGCCGAGGCTCAGCTGGAAGTGTTCAGCCAACAACCACAATGCCCCAGGAAAAGTGTGTGTCTAGTATCAGCTGTGCTCTGTTTAATGATGTAGCTATTCCCAGTGCTGGTATGTTCGCATGCGCACCATTGTTTTCTCTGGCTCAATTCAGCAGCGTGGACATTATGAGCATCGAGCAATCTCCTCTCCCGAATCTGGGATTTCTTTGATTCCATCAACAAGCATGAAGACTAAAAGCGAGGTCTGACCCGACACAGACATGGAAGCAAACCCAAAATTAGCACAGAACAATTTTCCCCCGAGGCGGTTCAAGCTAAATGGTACCACCCTGTCAGCCTGCGGAGCTTCTGAAGAGATGCACCGTACTATTATACACTCAGCGAGCCTGATGAGGCTCTCGTCAAGTTAATATGTAGTCATGAAGACGTGCATTACTACATTTGACAAGCACATGCAGGCAAAAACACAGATCTGAGAGCGAGACCTGTGCAATTAACATCAAATAAATCCATGCTTTCCCAGTGGACAAACCTTACACTGTGTATACACCCTAAGATCAGGAGAGGGGGCTGTTAATGTTGTGACTGTTGCCGTGCATGTTCGTGCGCCTCTGTGCATTTAATTACAATATTTACAATATTACTAATTATGCACAGTTTTACTAAAATGCTAAGCACATCCAACATCTATGAATCTTGACTATGTTCGGTATTAAACCTATGTTGGTCTCTCACACACCTGTAACTTGTCTGGTGCCAGGCTGTTGCTGCTAAATACTGAACTCTATTAGCAGTGTTTAACTACATTAGTGATTTGGAAATGTCATGGTAAAAGAAGAGACATTTTTTTCCTCTAATTTTATTTAACCATACAGTAACCTATCTAGTACTCAAGTGTGGCCTTTTATTGTTAAAGGAATCTGGTTTTAAAGTTTCACCCGCATGTAATGAAGGTCTACTGTGCAATAATCATATGCTTAATCCCAACGATCATGATTTTTTTGGCATAATAATTTGCACTTTTTGCATTTTAGAACAGCCTCTTGAGTGCTCGTGCCACCTTAATGAAGATTATGAAAAAGACAGAGCACGAGTTAAAACCGACAAAGTGCCAGTTGGTGCAGGATACCAACAGGACGGAGGATGAAACTTCACAATAGAAGCACAGACTGGAGAGAGGGCTGAGAGGAATCAGAGCAGGGAAGGCCACGGTGTGAGCCAAGTCTGTCACCATCTGGCTACCGTATGTGTGTGTGTGTGTGTGTGTGTGTGTGTGTGTGTGTGTGTGTGTGTGTGTGTGTGTGTGTGTGTGTGTGTGTCCATCTGTTTCTGTGTGGTCAGACTGTCTGTAGGGACACACCCACACACTGTACTCACACGCGCACACATGCACACACACACACTCTGACGCTTCCCAGGCCTCTAGAAACACGGCTAACTGACTGAATGTCGACCTGAGTGACATCTATGACAGAGAGACCGGGAGCTCGGCTGACAGATGCCGCTGTCATGCACAAAGCTCAGGGATGTCTGAGGTTTGGACGAGATCCAGCTCTGGGCTGCGGTAATCTTGGTTTAAAGGAGGTCAAGAGGTGAGAGGAGAAGAGGGTGGAAGAGAATCGGAAGGCAGGAAAACAAGAAATCAAGAAATCATCACTAAATGTGCGTCATTAACAAAAACGTGCATGGAAACTCCTGCAGAAAAGGTCCGAGTGCAGGTGCAGTGCTAAACAATGTTGGGCTTGGAGGAGACGCAGGAGGTTTAAACAACACACTGCATGTGCTGAGACAGAAAGCGAGATAGCGAGGTTCGGTGATAAAGATTTAGACCTGCTGACAAAATGTGCTTTAAATTCGACATTTATTCTCAATGTAACTCTTGCAAAAACACCAGATGTGAAAGTCAGAGAGAAGAGAGAAGTAAGATGTCCACTTCTGTTACGTTGTCACTGTCAAGTTTATCCACCGCCTACCGACAACAAGGAGAGAAGTGGGGTAGGAGAAGAAATCTGTAATGTTTTGAAACAGGTCGCAGCAGGTCAAAGAACTTCATGAGACCGAGGCTGAATTCCAAGTAGGCAAAAGCAATTTCCTTCAATATCAGCAAACCCCTCTCCAATAACTAGAGAAAGCCTGAGTGCATGCATTAGGGAGATATCCCATATCACATTCAAGTAACGTAAGACACCGGAATGCAGCGGGGAATGTCACTGAGGTAATGGTGGTGAAAGTTTTTAAATATCAATACCAGTTATAATAACAAGGGCTTCACGAACGCATGATGTTACTATATCTTGTTACAGCTGTGTGTGAGGATTAAACACCTTCACACATTCTTTTGTTTCATTAGAAGACACTCGTGCCCCGTCACGAACCCGACAGCTTCCCGTCCGACGCTAAAACCTGATATCGTCTGATGAAATAAAAAAAAACTGGCAGTCAGGAGACAAAGAGAAAGGCTAAATTTAACCTAAACTGGGTGGAGAGACGTCCTTTAATGAAGAGGTGAGAGCAGAAGTGTTGGAGGAAGTGAGGAAAGCAGGATCCCGGCGTGACTTAAACCTGACCGGCGCGCTGTTAAGATTCAGCTCCTGTCGGGCGGTGAAGCAAACCTCTAAAAAAAAACAAAAAAAACAACAGTAGCGGGACAAACACAGACGTATAGGATTCAATTTTCAAAGCTACATGTAACATAATCTCAGAGAGGATACATGTAGGTTTCCAAAAAATCCAAACCACATTTAAGTTTATCAATTGGTTTGGGTTTTTTTGTTGTTGTTCTTTTTAACTGAAATTAGCAGTGTTGCACTTTCACTTGATGGTTTTGGTGGAGAGAAAGGAAATGAGAGAGGGAAGCTCATGTGAAACGAAACCCTCAGAACTGATTATTTACCAGAAACAGACACAGAGAACACTGTGCAAACCTTACTCTGGATAAACAGTGCCTTTCAGTAAGAGACACAGCTCCCTGTCATCTGAGGTAAAACACCTTTATGTTTCCAGTCTGCAGTCCTCTAATGTGATCTCCTGACTTTAGGAGGCTTGAGCTTCACCACGGGTTAAATTCGGAGTGAAGCTTCATGCCTCTGTCACATTTCTGCAGAGGATTAGTGGCCCTTGATGTTTATAGAGCTAAAGCAACTGCTGCACAGCGCGAAACCGCATCTTGCAAAGGTTTTCCAGCTGATTTTCTGAACCTATGCGATAGGTAGTTGCACTCGTATGACCCAGCCAAGATTTCTGCTCTCTCCTCATGCAACACGAGTGTTAACAGTGGTGCAAACGCTGCTTACTAAATGAAAGTGGCACTTAAAAATAGAGCAGTCCAGGCTGTTCTCATGATCTGCTCTGATCTTGGCAACGGTTTCAGCAGAGGAAATGGAACGCCAGGTCGAGGTCAAACATGATATATATAGGTTTTGTTTATAATGAAATGGGAGAATAAAAAGAGTCGGTGTCACACTGACCTGGGGAAGGGATAAGAGTAGGAACAGCGAGGATGTTAATGACAAAGCACCTCCGGGAAATCTCCTCTACAAGTTTTACATTTTGAACGTTTGACGGCCCCTAAAAATAACCGGTGCATGTGTGTGTGTTGAAATCTTTCAGCTGAACGGAGCCGACTGGGCCCCGTGGATCGCAGACTGGGGTCCTTTCAGTTCAAATCACAATCCCTTCATTCAGCAGCTTCCATCAATGAGCCTTTCTTAGTCTGCCAAAAACACACACTCACTTACACACAGGAGACAGATTTTTGGAGCATGATTATTGTCTTATCTAGATGTTGGAATGATGCTTCACAAACCCCAGACATACTGAGTGCTTTCTCTGTTGCAAATGCATACAGTGAAACATTCACTGACATGTGCACTGGTATGCTGATGAACATTAAAGAGCCTGAAAAAACTGGTGAAGTCAGAATTTCCTGACTCCGACTCCAGACTGTAAAAGCAACCTACAAAGGCCAAGGTTGCATCCTCAAAGGCAGGGTCCAGTTTCACACAGCTGTCCTTTTGGGCCTCACACCAACATAGCTCTTCTGTTTTTTGTTTTTTTTTTTTTAAAAAAAAGATAATTAGAAGGCTAGCAGGTCTCGCAGCCTTAACAACCAAGTGTCCATCAGTGAACTGTGCTGGAATCTGGCTTCGGGCCTGGCAACCATCATCCAAACAACCAAGCCAAAAACACTTCTGAGAGGACGAGAGGAGTCATCGAAATAGCTCCAGACGCGGGAGAGGGAACAAAAAGCAGCAGCACTCCTGCTCGCTCTGCATCTTTTCCATGTGCCCCTTGCAACAATGCAGCTCTTAAAATCCAATGCCCTTTGTTTGTGACAAATCTAATGAGGAAAAGGCAACATATTTTTATTGATGGGACAGTGCAGAGCAGCTAAATTACTGGTTATTTTTCCAGCAAGTGAGAGTCCCTGAAAATAAGCCAATAAAACAGAGAGGCCTGTCTGCAGCTGTGGAAACTGCTTCCTCTTCATGTTTACCTTTCATAAAATGACTCATGCCCTTCTTTGCTTGCAAACTAGACTCAAATTATAGTGGTGGCCCTGAAACAAAATGCATGTTTGGGGGGTTGTGTGTCACAACTAAGTATAAAGATATCCATTATGGTCAGCTGGCAGGTTGACTGTGGTGGATCCCACGCTGTGAGTGTTTCTGGTTTTTGTAACTGACAATAAACAAGGCTGGAG